TTTGATGCTAGGTTGATAACTATGTAAAAATTAATTATTGGTAGAATTTCTCTTTGGATTATGTTTTTCATCTGCTTTACCCCACATTGTTCTTTCTGCTTTGAATTTATTCTTTCCAGTACTAACATTGTCCCTCTTGCACATTTTGATAGCATTGATAGTCCCTTCATCCATCCCTTCATATTCAACCTTTCAGGATCATTCTGACATTTGTCTACTTCTTATAAACAGCACATAGCCAGGTTTGTATTGTTTTGCCCCATATAGGAAAATCTATCTTTTAAAAGAGGTGTTTAACTCATTCATATTTATATCCTTGCCACTTTACTTCATCTTTATATCCATTCATCTACTGATATGTTTAGCAAATCTTTTCTCTATTTTGTTGTTTCTCACAGAGTCTGTATAAATTGTATTTGAGTTGTGGTGGTAACCATGGTGATGGTGAATAATACAAGTGCACCTTTTGATACCATGCCTTGAAGAAAGAATACTTGTCTTGAAGTTAATGATGTCCAAGCTGGGTCTTGTCTTGAGAGTAATTGCCATCGACTGCCATCGGGGTCATGCTTAGTTGTGATGGGCTCTTAACTCCAATAAAGGTGCTCTGGACTTGAAATCAGCTTTGGATCTGAATTCGTACACACACACACACACACACACACACACACACACTATATTATATTTATTAACCTCTGCACCCAGTGATTTCCTCATCTGTAAAAATCCCCTGGAGGAATGGAGGGGATTCACTAGAGCAACATGGGAAAGTGCTTTCCATAATTCTAGGTTTCTTGCAGTATTAACAATGTCTATATAAAAATAAAACCCCATCTCTCTTGGTTTGAGGCTTGTTTCCTTTTTGGAGCAGGGTCTGGTTGGTATGCAGGAAAAGGGGAAGGCATGTGAGCTATGTTATCTGCTTGTCATCACGAGAGGAGCCAAGTGGCAGGCCACGGACTGAAGCACATCCGGAAGGAATATCAGGCAGGGTGGGCCCCAGAATTCCACAGCGAAAACTTGGAGATAAGGAGGTGCTGAGGGTGGGGCTGCTGGATGGATTGGCCCCCTACTTCTCCTGAGAAGAGAGTTGAGGGGGTAGGTGGCTTCCAGAGCCACCAAATAAGGAAGGACATCAACTTTCTCTACTCTGTCCAAGTGTAAATGTCAGCAACTCACCCCACACTGTCTTAGTAGCTCCTAAACATGATTTTTAAATATATCTTTTTTTTTTTAATAGAGGCATGTTTTAGTTATTTATTTATTTGTTTTTTTGTTTGTTTGTTTGTTTATACATGCACTGGGTACAGTCAGAAGCACGGGAGGGTGAGAGAATTCACCAGAGCCAGAGAGGGGAGCAGAGCAGGCAGAAGGACCGAAGTCCACTGCTGAGGGGAGCAGGGGGCGGCAGGAGAGGTCTGCACGCCATGTGGGACCCTCCTCCGGTGGCCGGGGAGCAGCCAGGGATCGAACTGGCGCCGCAGAGGCTGCGGGCAGCTTCGCAACCCAGCGCTCAACTGCTGTGCCACCGGGGAGGCCCTAAACATGATTTTTAAAAGGACTTAGGACAAGCTGCAAGCTCAGTGGTGCAAGCGGAAATGCTTAGGTGAACAGACCAGACCTTCTTTTTATTTTTCCAAAGGATATCTAACCTCTCACTTTATTTCCTCTTTCTTCTTTTGCCATACATAATTTACCTAGAAAAGAGGTCAATTGTCCTTTGAAAGTGGGAGTTGCTTTAAACATCACAAAGCTCCTGTGATCTCAGCCCCTTCCCATGCCCCACCCAGCCCAGTGCAGCTGGTCCAGGTTGGTGGTTCTGATGGTTCCTAACCCAAACCCACTCCCCGGGGAGCCTTGGCTGTGCCTCCAGAGGTTATTTCCTTGCCAGACATTCCTTTTCAGTGAGAGGACGATTTCATCCCCTGGTAAACAATCCCCAGTCTGCACAAAGCAGAGAGGGTGCCGGTCCCTCTTCAAGCTCTGCACTTAGTCCTGAGCTGATTCCAACCCCAGAGGCAGAGGCGTCAGTCTGCTCTATAAATTCCTTTGTGAAACCTGAGAGCCTGGGCTCTCGGAAGGAGAGCAAAGATCTTGGAGGGGTTACAGTTCCCTCCTCCCTAAAAGATCTGCTTGTGTTGGCAGCAAAAGAGTATGTTTTTCCAAACAGGCAGTTCCCTTTCTTATGTGAATTCAGTTCAGAAAGTACTGCCAGGCTGCTTCTAAGTGGGAGAGGCAAGATCACCTCCCGTGCAGGTCCACACAGGACAGAGATGACATGCCTGGGGGGGGGGGGTTTCCTAGTTAAAAGGGTCTGAAGCTCTTTCTCAAGCAGTCACCTCTAGGAGGGGCACAGCTCCTCTCCCCAGGAGGCAGGGAGCCCCAGTCCCAAGGTGGAGGCTGGGCTCAGCCTGAGCTTCATTCAAATCACTGTGGTGGTTTAATTGAAAAAGAGAAAGAGAGAATAAAAGGAAGGGAAGGAAGGAGGAGAGTGAATGGGGAAAAGAGAAAATGATGAATGAAGGGAGAAAAGAAAGAGGCAGAAATGAAGACTAGAAGAGAAAGATGGAAAGAAAGGACAAAAAGGACACTTGTGGCTGACCAGCCTCGGGCTCTGTGGCACATTCCTGAGTTCCTCACCACCCTTCTCCAGTAGCCTCCCCGGGCATTTTTGCCATATTCATATTTAGCCATTTCTTAATATATAGACTTCCTCAACCCCAGAATGTGGAAATGAATAATAATTCCTTAACTGGCAGGATCTTAAAAAGACTCATCTTTTTAAAGCAGGGTGTTGTTTTGGTGGCATCGGGCCGAGAAAGAAGTCAGCCTTTGCCTTACAGTTGGACTGTTAACTTCACCACTTTCTATCACAACATCACTGGGGTCTATTGGATTTCAAGACCCCAGAGGTTTAACGAACATTTATGTTGGCCCCTGAATTCGTGGGGCTGGTGAACCAGTGTGTGCTGATGGATGCCTACATTTTATATGCTCATCAGAAACCTCTCCCCGTCAAGGTCAGTTTGTGGTGGTGGGTAGTGAGGAAGCAGGTCACCAGTAAACCATTCTGGTTGAGTGACTCTTCCCTCCTCAACCTCCTGCTCAGCTGGCAGCACCAAATGCTGATGCAGCTGAGAGCACAGCCCACATGGGCCATATTGGGGGCATTCCTGTGGCTCCAGGAGACCCTAAAATGCTGACTGGCAGGGCTCTGTGATGGGCAGATACATCCACCCCCAGGCTTCTGTCCCCTCCTCTGACCCCAAGCTGGGGTCACGTTCTTTTTTGTTTTTTAAGGCACACACTTTTTTTTTTTTAAAGATTTATTTATTTATGCATACAAGAGCTGGGGTACAAGACAGAGGTACAGGGGGTAGGGGCAGTGAGAGGATTCACCAGAGACAGATCAGGGAACAGAACAGGAAGAATGACTGAAGTACTGCTGAGGGGAGCAGCGGGCGAGTCAGGAGAGGTCTGCTGCGCCGTGTGGGTTGCTCCCTGGCCTTCCAGGGGATGGAATTCGTGCTGCAGAGGCTGTGGATTGCTTCATGGTGCGGTGCTTAACCCCTTGTGCCACCAGGGAGGCCCATTTTTATGCACACACTTTTATTGAGTGTCTGCTATGTGCTGTGCAGCTCTCATTTCTTAGTAAGAGGACAGACCAAAACATCCCTTGCTTCATGAAGTCTCTCTATTCTACAGTTTCTATTTTACTAGAAGGTTTTATTTATTTATTTAAAAAATCTGAAACATACAGAAAAGTGGAAAGAACTGTACAATACAATGAGCTGTACTATGTACATTTCACCTAGTTTCCATTTTAATATTTCATGTGTGTGCTCTTTTCCCTCCTCACCTTTCTTCCCCTTTCTTCATACCTCCTCCCCACACAGAGACATTTTTTGGCTGAACCATTTGAAAGCAGACTTCATGACACCTCATCCCTAAGAAAGTCACCTCCAAGCCATTATTATCCATAAGAAAGCTACAACAAAGTAAAAAATACAGTGCTTGAAACACAGCCTGCATTCAAATTTCTTTAATTATTCTGTCAGGTTGTCCCACAGGAATGGATAAAATAAACATTTGTTGAATGAATACATTGTCTATATATGATGCATGTATTTCCCCCATAGTCTTAGGTAATCAAAATGTCTTTAATAATCAAAATGCTGTACTGTGTGAGACTGTAAGCATAGCAATGTTTAAAGTTAAAGGATCTTACCTTCTTGACCCTTTCTGATGGTCCTTGCTGATGGTCAGGCAATGGATTCAGTGACCACTGGGTATTTTTACTGGTCCTAAGGTTCTCTCCTTCCCAAAGAACCCATACTTATGATGCCTTGCAATATTTTCTGTTTTATTAGGAAGCTCCAAACTACACCAAGAAATTTTTTTTCTCAATACTCTTTACTGAAATCAGAAATTGCAATTTAAAAATAATTCTCCCCTGCTTTAATAAATTGGCTAAAAAGGTTAAATAGATTTTCTTCCTATGTTTGCAGTCACAGAAGCACTTATCTCTCACCCCAAGTGGATGTCCTATGTAATTGGATGTGAAGTAATTCCAAAGTTGCATCAAAATCTTTTCAGAGCGTTACTATGACAATCAGACTTCTTTTAAAAAAACTCACTTCAATGCAAACTCTCCATCATCCCACTGTCCATTTAATGAAATTTAATCTCATGAAGTAAGGTTAGCTTTTCAGAAAATTTAGGGCCAGGAGGGGGAATATTATGCATGATGCATTCACATTAGCTGATTCTCCCACACACCCTTCTTCTCAAAGATGTGATATATACACCCTTAGCATGGATTCAGTACTTTGATTGTTAAAAGTGCTGCCTTACCAAGACTATGGGAATTAATGCAGGGGCTTAAAAAGAACCCATTCTTTGCAGGAAATAAAAATTTTAATATAAATTCATTGACAGCGCTTCCTGACTGTTTACCTTTTCAAAGTGGACTCCAGCAAGGCCAAGGATTTGGGCAGAGATTCTCAGTGGGTCAAGAATGAGGGAAGAAGCCTTATCAAAATGTCTGTCTGGGCAGTTTGGAAAAAAACATATTAAAAATTACCATTACTTTTGCTTGGTTTTGGCTTCAAGTTGATCTTGACATTTCTCTATTAATGTTAACAGAAGGTATGAGATTTTCATGTTTATCAAATGGGGGCATGTCTTTAAAATTCTTTAAACACACTGGGCTAGTGAGGGTTTTATGGACCATTTTCTATGAGAGGCTTTGGAGATTCAACACTGCTGTCTACATGTGGTGCTGCAGTCATGGATGTTTATTTCTGTCTTTTGCTTCAGTGGTTTTGAGACCTCAGTACAATTTTAGGGTCTCAGCTCTCCTTCAAAGCTCTTCTTTGATAACTGAGGATTTGAGATTCTAAGAGGGGGAGGGACTTGCTCAACGAGACACAAGGCAGAGTCAGGATCAAAAACCCTGTTTCCTAACTTCTTATCCCATGTTCTTTATATCTCACAACTTCATACACGCACAGCTATTGCTTTGCTGATCCTTCTTGGCTTCCAACAGAAGTGGGATATATAGGTTGCCATTTTCTTTAAACACTTCAGTAAAACTGTGAAAACCCTATGAGGGCAGGAAATTTTGTCTTTTGTGAGTATTGGCATATCTCAGCTCTATAAAGATGCCAGACATATAGTAGAGCTGAATAAATATTGAATAGTAAATTTTGTGTGTGTTTCACATAGTCTTCAAAAAGGAAGGGTCTTTAACAACCAAAACTCTGAGACCAGGATAAGGATGGCTTGACTGCCTACTGCAAATTCCAGAATATATATATATATGAATACATATGTATATTTACATACATATTTATTTAAATTCATACCCTGTAGTGGGTATTCTCAATATGTTGGGTGAAAATTAGAATCAACTGGAAATTTTTTTAAATGCCGATAATTAGACCTCAGAGCAAAGATTCAGATTTCATTTACCAGGATAAAACCTGGGCATTAGCACCTTTTAGATGCCTCATAGCAGATTCTAGGATTCAGCCAGCCTTGAGAAACATTGCCTTAGGAAATGTTAGTTCACATCTGAGGTGCCCTAACTGGGAGATAATGCTTGCTGTGGTTGTTTAAGTATTTGAAAGAACTGCTTAATCGAGAGGATGTTTCCACTTTAATTAGTGATAATTAGCTTTACCTCTAATTAGTGCTAAAGGGTTATTTGTTTATTTGCATCAGAGATATTACAACTTGTCACTAACAGGAGGATTCAGAAATATGTGTTTGACTAAAAAAAAAACTGTAAGGCTCCTACCTAGGTGTCGGATAAATATTTAGCTCCACTACACGTCAGGTATTTTTTTATGCCCTTTGTAGACCTAGGCCCATATTGAGTGCTAGCTCTTGTGTTGGGCCACATATGGAAGGTCCTGTCATCTGATTAGACTGTAAAAGTAGCTGAAATCTGCTACCAGAATGTCATTTTATTTGCCCCCAAGTGAACCTTTGATGCCAAACACAATTCATAGGCCTGGATGGATACCAAGTTCACAGAACAGGCAGTGGTTCTGTATGCTTGTTGGCCAACAATGGTTCATATGTGTGGCAGCATTTGGGTGGAGATACGTTATATACTGTAATCAGGTACCTTCTCTAAGATGTCCAGTGAAAACCTTGTGCCTTCACCCCCAACTCTCATGTCAGAGGCTATAGATACACACACACACACACACACACATACACACACACATGCACATGTGCACTTACCTTGTGTTACTTATTTGGTTCCCCTATATTGCCCTGTGTTACTTAACAGCAGAATGTGTGCACTTTCTGTGGAGAGTCCTGGGGTAGAATAGGATTTTGGTCTTGTCTTCATCCTTTGGGGGGAAATGAAGGCAGATGTCACAATCCTGCTCAAAATGTCCTCAAAACATTTGCCTTTTCAAATACAGGTGATTGCATTCCTGGTTGGCAGGGAAGGGATAACAACCTTAAACCTCATTTGCATCACTTTTATGACCTCCCTTTGGCATTTTCAAGTGTGTAACTGAGCCATGGCCTAGCACTGAGGATACTTGGATTCCCCATCAGGCAAAGTCAGCCACTTCTCTGAGCCAAGGAAGGTGAGTAGCAGCTGGGAGTGGAAAGGCTATTAAGAGGGATGGCAAAATGAGCGATTTTAAATGCAACAGTGGAACAAGGTGTCTTCCAAGTCAGAATCTGGCTATAGTCCTTTGGACTCCTTTCTTTTAGTATCATGGTGGGTGTTCTAAGGACAAGGAGTGTTAATAATAATAAAATTTTATGTGCTATAAATTGCTTTGATTGTAATAAATAAAAGTGACAATTCTGAAAAACAACATAAATATCTATATATAGGAGAGTGGTTAAACAAGCATCATACATCCACCCATGGAAATTCATGCTGTTGATTAAAATAATGAGATCGATATTTTTGAGCTTTAGAAGTAAAAACAATCCAGAATTAAGTCAACACTCAGTTTGCAATTAAACAACATTCTTTCTGTGTTATTTCAACTTTTTGCAATAATGCATTGGTCTATTCCTGATATAGTTAAGAAACTATAATAAAAAATTAAAAGTCTAACTAGAAATATAATATCCTAAAATTTGGAAAGTAGAAATTGTCCTTGAAGCCCAATTATGGTGCAAGAACCAGGTGGTGCCTGGACACGCCTTTCAAACCCTGGCGACATCGATAAGTGCTTCAAGTCCTCCTCCTCTGCCTCTCACTTTCTCCAATTGTAAACAGGGTTATAATTCTAGGGCACTGAAATGCATAAATCCTGAGTGGAGGGAGGAAAAGGCTCCTGAGGTAACACTGGCAAAGCTCAGGAACTCTTCCCTCCTCATTCTGGTCATAGCTTGTTGACACTGGGTTGCTAAATGATTGCAGGAGCAGCTTGGCATGTTATCGTTATAATTCATCTCTGGAAGAAAACATTATGCTGAGTTTGAGACTGTAATCAAGACAAATATACAGCTTTCATAACTTAACCCCACTAGGTAAACTTTTGTGGGATGGACACTTCATATACACAAGTGACAGAGAACACCCCTCCTTTTGAGAAATTTCAGTCTCAATTTTGATGAGTAAGAATGATTTGAAGATGCAATTCTGTCTTAGGTGTTGTTAGGGAGCTAAATGTATCTAGAATCTCTTTTCAAAAAGCAAATTCTCTTATGCTTTATAATGACAAACTAGACACAAGGAAAGGGCCAGTGGAGAGACCCAGCTGTGATTTTTCTGAAGGTATCCGAGGATCTGCCTAGCTCTACCCTTTCTTAAGTTCAACCCAACCTTTCAATCCATATCATTCTCTGCAAAGCTTTCTTCAAGATTTCCTGGAGCCTCCTGTACAGAATCAGCCACGTGCGAGGGGATCTTAAATGACTAGAGGAAAAGAGGGCTTGGTGAGCCATCCTACCCACCCCTCACTTGCATTCTTACAGGTGATTTGAACACAGAGTAGGTTTTTTTTTTTTTTATTGATTTTGGTTGGATCTACGTAGCAACAGGCCTAGATAAACTTCTCTGGGCTTAGTGCTTCTCTGCTTCTGTTGGATGGAATTGAAACTCTTCAACTTAGCATCCTCTGACTAGTTGTGTATCTGCAGCAAGTTACTTAATGTTTCTTTCTCAGCATCCTCTCTGTAAAATGAAAACCTTGATCTTGCTCATACTTCAAAAGCATTAATAGCTTTGGGATTCCATATTCAAAGACTTTAATAATCCATAATCCTAATAGATATTTCCTAACATCCTCTTCCATATGGATCAGGCCTGGAACAAAAGAAGGCATAAGAAATGGTGGAACAGGCTTATATGTCCAATTTCACTAGGTAAAGAATGATAGTGATAGCTGACTCCACCCTCAAAGGAAACACCAGGCAATTTCCTTTAAGTAAAACCCTTTCTGGGATAGATCATGAAAATACCAAACAGGTACAGGAGTTATTGGGAGGTTCCCTTTGTGACTCATTTTGAAAATTCCAGAAAAAAATATGCACAGGCAGATCTGTTTAAAGGGAGAAGAACAGAATAACAGCCATGTTTGTTGTTGAGGGAGTGAGTTTGAGGGAAAGGCAGATGTCAGTGTAACAGCCTGATCACAATTCCCTCCACTAATATATACTCCCTTCCTCTTACTCTTTCATCCTTTCTTTTACTGAAAAAAAAATCAGGCTTTAAATGGATCTGAAGATAGTAACCCCAGTTCTCCCTGAACTGTAAAGAGACCTAAATATATATTCTACATCATTTAATACCTCAGAGATGGGAAACCAGAAACAGGAAATTTTCATTTCTCCCCAAAGCAGAGATATTTGCTCTCTGGCAATGCTTCTCAAATCTTGATGCATCAGAATTATCCGGGTGCTTTGAAAAATAAAGATACTTAGGACTCACCACAAATTGACTCAAAATCTCTTGGAGGGTGACCCCGGGACCTGCCTTTTTGACAAGCTCCCATAGCTGAGGCTTTTACCCCTAGCATCTGAAAAATTTGACTCTATGACCTAATCAAGGTCACACAATTGCTAATAACTGGTCTCATATAATCTATCTCTGGGTCACTCGAATCCTTTTTGAATAAAAAGTGTTCCAGTAAGTACGCCATTCTGGAAGACCATGAGTATGTCATGTGCTAATTATGGCCAATGACACCATAAAATAAAAGTGCATTGCTGAATGCTTTCAGTTTCTTATAGTAATGGGAAGGTGGCATGTCACTGAACCTTTTTAGTCCCAGACATCAGTCCAAAGAATTTCAAGCAGATATAGACAAGGGCCATTAGGACCCAGATCCTTCACTCTCAAGCTGTTTACCCCTGGGTATAGGATGTCCTGAAGCAACACTTCCCCCAAGTGAAGTGTTGATAAGTCTGGTTATCAGAAAGATATTATTGGGAGTGTGATTTGCAGGGCATTTATATTTTCTTGATAGGGTTAGTCATATGAAAGCTGACAAAGAAGGAAAAAGAGCAGTGTTGTGGTGCAATATCAACAGACAGCTGTCCCCTGGCTTCTCGATAGATAGGATGACTTGCATTGCTGAGCGATGTGGTCACTGCCAAAGGAATGGCCCTCTCACATTTCCTCCTGATTCACATATTGAGCAGAGTAACTTGTCATCCCCTCCCTCTTCTGCTTCCCAGACACTGAGTCTGGGATGAAAATTCACCTGCCTCTGAGTTGGCCACTGGTGGGGGGGGGGTGGGGTGTTACTTGGCTTCCCAGGTTGGAAGATTATCTCACCAGTCCTAGCTATATAAGCTGGCTGGTGTGGAGGGGTTCAGCAGAGCCAACTCGAGGGACTCATTCCACAGGAGAAAAACATACAGACTGACTTCAGGCCAACATGATGGTACTGAAAGTAGAAGAACTGGTACGTAAGACATTATTTTTACACAGTGAAAACTGGTTCCATTGTGATTTTCACTTGGAAATTGAAATTCTCTTTTCTTTCAGTTATAATGTATAGGTACTCTGAAAATGTCATATATGGGGAAATATTGGCTTATGTGATTTAATCAGTGAAATTGGAAAAGTGGAGCCTGGACAGTAATGAATTCTTTCCTTATTTCCTATTTATTATCTTTCCTTTGGTTTTAATACTAAAGTGTAAAATCACATGTAGTTATCAAAGTGCCTTCAGGAGGAAGTTCTACTGCAAGAATATCTGCCTGGAAGCTTTACAACTGAAGGTCAACAGTCATCAAAAATACCCAAAATGAAATAATTTTGAATGATCAGAGGGAGGGTATGATTTTCCTAGATGAAATGTGTTTAAGCAGACTGAAAGTAGACTTAAACATATCAACCTAACTTAAGTCTTGATTTAACCAAGACAAGCACCTGAAGATATTCCTGGTACACCACAGTGATGTGACGGCCTGAGAAGGTGCTGCAGACACGTGGCGGCCACAAGGGTGGAGGGCTAAGGGCCACCTGCCACATACTTTGCCAAGAAGGACCGAGGATGGGCCCCTCTCTTTCTGATCCTGCCATCTTCTTCCCATGTAGGTTACAGGGAAGAAAAATAGCAGTGGGGAGACAGGGGAGTTCCTTCCTGAAGATTTCAGAGATGGAGAGTATGAAGCTGCTGTTACTAGAGAGAAACAGGAAGACCTGAAAACCCTTCCAGCCCACTCTGTGAGCCTGGGGGAGCAACAGTGGAAAACTGAGAAACAACGAGAAGCAGAGGTAAGAGGCTTCCATGGGATCCTGTAGTGGGAAGTTGGGATGGGGTAGGGGATGGAGGGAAACAAAACAAACACAGTCATTCCAAACCTGTTTCGTTACCAAGTTCCAACCCCAAAAGAGGCAACTCCTATGGGTCAAGTTGTTGGAAATAATTCTCCAGTAGAACAATGACCTTGGAATTCTGAAACAATGATTGAATGCTGTGTGACCCATTCTGATTGAAAGACTTGGAAAGACAAACATGTCCAGGGAATTTCTGCTGTCATGCACTGTCTAGTTAATCTAAGCAATGGAGACCTCTTTTTCTTAATAACATGGTTTGTGGTCCATAGGTCATTGTTTAACTCTGGCCACCATCTGTGTTGACAAAATCTGTGTTGCCAGGTAAATTTCCATTACTTAGTAACCACAGATAAAACATGCATTAGTTAGCTGTAGCCCCAGGACAGACTGTTTCATCGCCCTACTTAGTGAGCCACCTGAAAGAGATTGGTATTAATATTTCAGAGCTTAATACTTATTATTGGATTATTTGGGTCATAAAAAATTCTCAAGCATGATAAAAGCCTTTTACAGAAATCTCAGGATTGTTTATGGCAGTAATTACAAAATCATCATTTAGAGACTAGATCCTAGCTCTAATTTTTCAAAAACTGATTCAAAAACTAAGCTAGTGAAGTGAAAATGAAGACATTTAGCCAAAAAATTACACCTTTCCAAATACTTGAATAAGAAATCATTAACTCAAAGACAAAGACTTATTTCAAAAAAAAAATTTTTTTTTTCTTTTACTCTAACTGTTCACATCCTTATTTTAGAAACTACAGAATTTGGTTAGACCCACCAGAATGCTGGTCAGTAGACTATATCATAACTTGAGATATGGCTTTCTTTTCTAGCTCAAGAAGAAAAAACTAGAACAAAGATCAAAACTTGAAAATTTAGAAGATCTTGAAATAATTGTTCAACTGAAGAAAAGGAAAAAATACAAGAAAATGAAAGTTCCAGTTGTGAAGGACGCTGAACCGGAAATCATCGTAAGGGCTGCTTGGTTATGGAGTATTACATGCCTGGTGTTGTGCTACCTTAGATAAACATTTGTGGAGGGTTTGATTGACTGTTGGAAAGCTCATGGTAACTCTCACGCTTTTTTTTTTTTTTTTTTTTTTTTTTTTAACTTTAGACAGAACCTGTGGATGTGCCTAGGTTTCTGAAGGCTGCCCTGGAGAATAAACTGCCAGTTGTAGAAAAATTCTTGTCAGACAAGAACAATCCAGATGTCTGTGATGAGGTAAAGCCTATACAAAACACTGCAAAATCCAGCTCATTAATTTTGTGTTTCTTATGCTTTACTGCAGCCTTGCTAATACGGTGCCAAAAATCAATCCACCTGAAACAATCTCCCCAGCTGTTGCCACATATGCCAGTAGCATAGGAGTGTGCAGTGGTCCAGAGAGAGAGAGAGAGAGAGAGAGCGCAGAATTAGGGCTGTGCATTGCATTGTTTTTTGTTTTTGTTTTTGTTTTTATTTCTGGCTGTTTTTACAATTTGTCTTTAACTTTTTGGATCCTTTGAGATGGACTTTTAACAAGGCAGGGCCAAGAAATCTCCTTGGAAGAAATACACTATTAGCACCCCCTGTGATTGGCCCCAAAGACATTAGTGTTAGACAGGGAAATTGGAGACTGGAGTTTAAGTTCCAGCTCTATCATTACTTGAGAATTTGATTTCTAGCACTTGATTTGCATTTTTTTGGAGCTCAGCTTCCTTATCTATTGATAGAGGGCACTGAGGGAAAGGATGCCTAAAGTTGTTCCAGTTCTAATAGTCTATCAATCCATTCATATGAGGCCAACTTACCAGACATCACTAATGTGTTTTTTAAAATTCTTCCCCCCATGAGATGAAATGAGGAATCCTTTCTGAAATTGAACTAAAAATGAGTCTCGCATTTTCTTAAAAATGAATTGAATACTTTTTTATATTCAACCTAGCAACGGTCCCAAATGGAAGAAAACTGTCTGCTCTGCATGGCAAACACCACACAATGAAGGCAAAAAATATGAGAAAGGGAAATGACAGCATTTAGGTAGTTTTCAAACTTTAAGTTCACGTGCCTCAATGTAGACCCCTGAACTCATAGAAAAGTACATGCAGGAAGTTCAAATCTCAGCTGCAGGATCACTGTTGTAGTTCTGCAATATTAGTAAATTTGACATTTCAAATTCATAAAGGAGCACCTAAGTTTCTACCAACTAGGTCATAAGAGTCCCCAGTTTCATACCTGTTAAAAGGATTTATTTCACATTTTATATTTGTATATTTATTTATTTTTTAGATGCATTGCTATGTCTTTCTTAAGCATCTCTCTTCCGACAGTACAAGCGGACAGCTCTTCACAGAGCGTGCTTGGAAGGACATTTGGCAATTGTGGAGAAGTTAATAGAAGCTGGAGCCCAGATCGAATTCCGTGATATGGTAAATATATTTCTTCACTTGGAAATGAGCCACAATAAGTAGGTTATGGGAAGCTTGAGAAAACCTACAACGAAAAACTGGGATGATTAGATTGAAAAAAAAAATTGATCTGAGAGAATTAGGCAAAAGCTTATTTCTCCATAGAAAGGAAAGTTAGCAGAGGCCTCCAGGTCATGTGGAAAGTATTTGCCATGCATACTGAAAAGGAGAGGAGTATTACAGGGAACAGAAGGAAGTAAAAGCTGCTGAACAGAACCAAATATCCTCATCAGAGAGTTTGGTCATTATCAAGTCTGCAGCATTACTGAGAAGTAATACGGTCGACAGTTGCTTCTCAACATCCCTGTCCTTCCATTATACCAGGTGGTTGTCTCGGGGCCGCCTGACTTCCAGCAATGTTGTGGAATTCTCTAGCTGCACACTTTAGATGATAGACACCAATTGCCATCGATGAGATTTGGGACTTGACTGCATACTAAATGAATTGCATCTAGGGAAAGTAGCTATTTATACCTCAATAATTCAATGTGACTTCTATAAAGACCAGTATACAAGGTGTTTTATGAACTGAAGATTGAACTAGCAAAATGCCTTTACTTATTTAAATGCAGCTCAATTTGATTTTATAGAAAGTGGAAAAGGGTTATCAAAAAAGTCCAAAGGAGTTGGCCAAAATTGAATCCAAAAATAAACACATTGGGAAACAACAAAGAAAACCAAAAATAAAGTTTGCGTGAAAGGACAATAAAATGCATGTGCCTGGGATTTGAAAGGCCAGGGATATACCAAATAGAACGGTGAGTAGGTGCAATAGGCAGTGTCCACAAGTGATGGACAGAGGTTGTGCTGGCACAAATGACAGCAGAGAACCAACCATTAAGAGATGGGAAGGAACAGGGGCTCAGGAAGACGTGTCAGACCCAGATGAAAATCATTTGGAAGGGACTTTTATTCCTCCAGAATTTTTAAATACATTTGTTTGGAACTATTGGGTTTATTTGGCGTAAGTGGCTAAAAGTCCCAGGCAGATGTGAGTTTGAATAGCTGTTCTGATACTTACTAGCTGTGTTTCCTTGGGCAAGAAACTTGAATATGTTTTAGCTTTGTTTTCCCCATCTGCAAAATGAACACAGTAACAGCAACTCCATAATGTTGCTGGGAGGATCCACACATCTAAAGCTTGTGCACTAGGTTGGTACTGGGAATTCCCGATAAATTGTAGTTCTTGTTTTTTAAAATAGAGATTTACTAGATGTATTGAGCCTCTGAATGGTACACACAGATACACAATTACAGCCACACATAAAGTTTAGCTAAAACAATTGACAAGAACCTCCGACTACAATAGCTAAAACTGGCAACCTAGTTGAGAAACCCAGCGACACCTCTGATGCCCTAGCAAACCTAGTGTTCCTGGACCTTAAAAATCAAGGACTAATCTCTCTGACTAGGTTCTCTTCATTAAGTCATTTCCTTTTTCCTTCTGCATATAGCTTGAATCCACAGCCCTTCACTGGACAAGTCGTGGAGGAAACCTGGATGTCTTAAAATTGTTGCTGAACAAAGGAGCAAAAATCAATGCAAGAGATAAGGTACTTAACCCTTCACCCTACTCCCTCTCTTTCTTTGCCCCTCCTCCCCTCTGTCCTGCTCCTCTCCCCTCCTCTACAACCTCTGCCTCCTCCTTCTGCTCCACTCCGAACCCCCCCTCATCACTGTGGTCAGCTGAAGCTCGTGCTGCCCAGAAGCACCGCAGTGGCCACGACCCATCTCACACAGACTTTGGGGTTTGGGGCCACTTCTGCTCTCAGGCCCATGGACTCAGCCATGTTTTTCAAATTCCCAGCTGCTCAGCACAGCGCTGCACGTGGCGGTGAGGACAGGCCACTACGAGTGTGCGGAGCATCTCATAGCCTGCGAGGCAGACCTCAGCGCCAAAGACCGCGTGAGTAGCCAGAGTCCGGCCTCCTAAAGCCTGTCTACCTGCGGAATGCTCCCTGGGCAGGCACCGTGCGGGAACCACTTGCTGACCCCAGGCCCACCCTTAGCCAGTTCGCTCTGCCTCTCTAGGAAGGAGATACCCCTCTGCATGACGCCGTGAGAATGAATCGCTACAAGATGATCAGGCTCCTGATTATCCATGGCGCTGACCTCAACGCCAAGAACTGTGTAAGTTCCTGTGCCCCGAACCAGGCACGCGGCTTGGGTTACACTCTTGAAAATACCCTTCAGTGGTAGGATTTCGTGGAATCGTCTCATGGTTTACGTGCCCCTGGCCACTAGGACAGGCTTAACCTTGGCGAGGACTCAGGTCACTCGGTCAGGGCTGGGGAGCATGGCTGGTATGATGTCAGGGTCTAATACAGTGTCTAGTGAGTCTTTTAAAATTTGGTCTTCTTAAAAAAATAAAATTTGGTCTTGAAAATAAAAGATGGTGGAGTTGCTGAGGTTCGTAAACACAAGCTCGGTCATCTGCCTTGGCCGTCCTTGGCTGAGCAAGGCCAGGGTAGTTAGGATCCAGACTCCTGCCCATCTGGAAATGGCCCTCAGTTCCAGCAGGTCAGTGCAGCCAGGGGCCAGTGAGTGCAGTGAGCCGGTGTCCAGTTTGACTAACTGCGGAGAACCCCCCTCCTTACACCACCAAGACATGCTGCCACAGTCTTCCAGGGGTAACTGTGCTTTTGCCTGTAGTTTGGAGATCATTCCCTGCACCTTGGCTTTTCATTCATCCACTTTGGTTTCTCTGCATATTCCTCAAAATAATTTCCTATATTTAGGCTCTAAAAATGCTTGTATAAGTCCTTCTACAAGTACATTTTAATTTAGCTTCATCTGTAAGCAGGGAATGTAACCAACTTTTCCTCATAGTCCCAATTCCCAGGAAAATATCATCCAATATAAGATTTAAAAATATCACCCAGAGGATGGGTGTAAATTATTGAAGAAATAATTCGAAATAAGCTTTTGGAGAATCATTTTACAAAAAAATAAAAACAGAGCCCAGTCATCTTACAATGTGAATAATTTCTTCCCCTTATTATGTTACTGTGAGACTGAGGGAAATACATGTTTTTTAAAAACCTAGCTTGGTGACAGGAACAAAAAATAAATGCAGTCAAGACTGTTTGAGGTGGGGAAGTGTTAACAGTAGGGCTTCCTCATCCTTAATAGTGGGATTGGTTTTATCTAAAATTTAAATAAAATATCAGAAAAAAAGTAGAGTCAATGAAATTTCAAATGCTGAAGAAAATATGGTATTTTTTTTTTTTTTTTAGTTGGTGAGAGACTACCAACAGAGATAAGTAGCATATAGATACAGGGAAACTAAGTACTGGGAAAATCAGTAGATAAATTTCAATACAGAACAAAGAATTTATTGAAGAATAGCCCCAAATATATAAATAGGGATCAGGGCTTGTGACAATCAGTTAGACCCTAGTGCAAAGGTTCTAGAACTATTAATGTCATTGACTCAATGGGTAGATGTTCCCCCAAAAAACTAATAAGGTACTGGATGCCTCTATTGCTTTAGAGGACTGAAACCACCAGACAATACGTTATTCTGTTATTGTCCTAAAGTACCAGAATGAAAGTCACAGGGTCACCAACTCAAATATGGACAGGGCAGGTAGATCACACCAATAGTCTTTCCCCAACCCTGTCCATTGTTGCTCTGTGGAAGCACAGTTTCTTCTTGCCAGTGTTTCTGATTTTTTCATAGAGACTGTAAATTCAATTGGGAAATCTTGATTTCCAACTGTTGCCAACTTAATTCCAAATTAAAAAAAGAGAGAAAACTAAGCTCTGTTTGGGTCAAAACAAAACAAGTTTCTAGACAGATTTACATCTCAAATCTATGGGTTAAAGAGATACTTCTGAATGGAGATGGGAAAATTTAGGACTTCTCATATCTAAAGAATTTAGAGGTACATGGTTTTAATTTTTGTAATAACTAGAGACATCATGTAAGAGAAATGAAATTTTGGTCTCGGAAATTATTTATTCACAAATATCACTGATTTTACCTCCAAGAAAAAAATTTTCTGGGAGAGTCCAATGTAAATTATGAGAAGTTGTGAAAAATCTACCCCCCTGGATCAGTAGTAGTACTGAGCTAAGTACAAAGTACGTAAGCCACAGTGTTGAAGGTGGTCATTTATCACCAGTTTTTATCAATCATTTTCCAAATGGATAAGAACTGGTCATTGACCAAAAGGCCAAGACTCCCTCCCCACATCCATTCTGCAAGATGCTGAGGTATATGGAGGCATTTCTTGAATTTCAAAATGACTTAGTGTGCTCTTGCAGTCTAGGGACTAGGGATTGTTACAATATCTGGGATAATCCTACAGGGAGAGAAATTGCTGATCTGAAATTCAAAAGCATTCCGGTGAGAAACAATGAAGGGCTGCTTTGAATATGAATTGTAAATCATTCATAGTGGAAATACTTTAATAACATGCACCTGTCCATGACCTCATTACACACACACACACACACACACACACACAGAGGATGTGGAGCTATAGATGCCTCCTGTCTGGAATTCACCTTTCCTCATGTATTTTGCTTAGGCTGGGAAGACTCCCATGGATCTGGTTCTACACTGGCAGAATGGCACCAAAGCAATATTCGACAGCCTCAAGGAGAACTCCTTCAAAGCCTCCCGCATAGCCACGTTCTGAGCAAACGACACATCAGCTGCTCTTCGCCAGTATTTTGAAGGCACAGCCTCAAAGAATAGCAATTAATCATACAATCCAGCTGTTAATCAACTTGTTGTAAAGCTGCACTTAATGAAGTTTGGAGAAAGCACAGTGATATAGGTTTTGAAAATTGCCTTCATGAAACTTGCTCTATTTATTTCTATTTATTATGATTTATTTATTTCATTTACTTCAATAACTAATGATATTCAGATTCTCATGCCATCCATTTGGTGAGCAAAATTTCAGTTGTATATATCATAGGAGAGCCGTTCCTAGAGTGTTCTTAAGCCATGTTGATGAGCAATGTTCTCAGTGCCTCCCAGCTCACTTAAGCTATTTCTAGGTGTTGGTAAAAGACAGAGGTGATTACCACAACCCTCTTTTCTCCTGAATTTTTAATGCTGAAGTTTAAGGCAATGAAAGGCATGTAGTGGCAGGGAAGGAGATGGGATGAAAGTGATGTTTCAAGAAGGACAGTAAAGTCAGCCGTTTTACAGCTGGGCTTGGTATTTACCAAGTTACACCCTCAGCAAGGCCCAGAGAACGTGCTAAGTGCAAGGGGAGCACAGTACAAGGAGGGGCATCCAGGCCACACAGAATGGAATTCTCTCAAAAAGATGAAAGTGACTGTGGAATGTAAATGTGTAAATGTATATGATGTTGTATGTATATTTTATATTCATAATAAAAGCAAAACACATTCTAAGCCTCTGAGTACTTCTATGACTAGAGTAGGAAAGAACCATGTGGAAAGGCCATTTGAGTAGGTTTTTTCCCTTTGTCTTGCAAGGTTTTCAGTTTAGAAATGTCCAGTACAGCAGCTTTTCTCGGCGTGGACTGTATGTACAGGTCACCTGAGCAGGTTGTTAAAATGCAAATTCTGATTCTGCTGGTCTGCAGTGGGACCTGAACTTCTGCATTTCCCACAAGCTCCCAGGTGATGCAGCAGCAGTGGTAGGCCACCGCCCGCCCCCTCAGGAGCAGGAGGCTGTGAAAACCTTAGGTAGAGATCTTTGGGCCCCAATGATGTGTGCAAAGAGACCCCTGGTGGGCAAAATGATTACTGCATGTTAAATCAGTCCTTCAAACGTTCCCATCAGGGAAGCATTCACCTTCTCAGAGGTTTAACAGTTACTGTGGACAGAGGCTGACTGACAAAGTGAGAAGACATACCTGGTCAAGGATTCTTGACCTCCAAGGAGAACTATTTTGTTGCTAGGTGTTGGATTAGGTGCTTAGACTGGATTTCAAATATGAGAAAACCAGATTGTCCCCGGCCTGCCTTCCTGGAATAGATGAATATTAAAGAAATCATCACAGAATTTAATATAAAGTAACCACCTGTGGTGAGGTCGATGAAGGAATAAAGTCAGGGTTCTCTGAGTGTCTACGATGTGAGGCACATCTACAAAGACTTCTCTGAGCTGGTGACCCTGCAGGGGATTCTGAAGGAGAAAGTGGAGTTATTCAAGCACAGCAGGGAGAACATAGAAACTGGAAAGGTTATGAGGAAATGTAGGAAGGCCAATGAAGACCCATGTGAAATATCGGCATTGGTGCCCCAGACAACAAAGCCATCTTTCTCAGATACGTTCACTCATGGCCTCTTGACTGTGCTGCTTGTGTTTTGAGATGGCAGTAGGCACGGTTCTTGACTAGGTCTTCCAGGTAGCTGACTGTGGGCCCATAGGGAGGACGGTTTGAAACATTTTTTAAACTTTTCTACCTAGCCTCCTACCAATCTGTAGGAGTCTTGGGTGCCAGGAATCTCATTCTGTTTTTCCTCTCCTTTCCCATTCCCCTTTGCCACCCCTCGATCCTCCCTTTAAATGCAGGCTCTAACACGTCAGATCCTTAAGGCTCAGGAGCCTTTGTTTCTTCCAAGTAAAGCACTTACAACACAGGCATTTCTCTTGCTACCGATGTCTCAACAGCATAATTTGGGCGTGTTATTATGCAGGTGACCAGGCTCTCTCTTTGTGATGTCTTTCACAAGTTCCCCTCCTCACAAGAGCTGGGAAGCTAAAGGAGAAAACTGAGTAAGGAGTTAAAACACCTGTGTCGCCACGTACAGAGGTTTGCATTAGGACCGAGATAGAGGTCATGAGAGACAACAGAAAATAAAGTCCCGAAAAAACAAGTTCACCTCCCAGTTATCTCTGCTAATGGAAAAGAGAAATACTTTAGACAAAAATTCATGTTTGTCACAGGTGTTTGATTTTTACAAGTTTTTCATCTTCCGATCTGAGTCAACTCTTTGCACAGTCTGTCTTTTGTGTTTAGTATCCCATTGGCCAATAGTCTTGGAAGTTTTTTTTTTCTTTTTTTCTTTTTTTCCAAGATTTATTTATTTATTTATTTATTTATTTATTTATTTATTTATTTATTTATTTATTTATTTATTTCTACAAGCACTGGGTACAGTCAGAAGCGCAGGAGGGTGAGAGAATTCACCAGAGCCAAAGCAGGGAACAAACAGGTAGACGGACAAATACACTGCTGAGGGGAGCAGCGGGCATGGCAGGAGAGGTCTGCGCACCATGTGGGACCCTTGCCGGAGGCCGGGGATCAAACCAGCGCTGCAGAGGCTGCGGGCAGCTTTGCAGTCCAGCGCTCAACCGCTGCGCCACCAGGGGAGGCCCTTGGAAGTTTTTCTTGACATTATCTTTCCCTCCTCTTTCACTCAACAGTCGAGTCTTCTTACCAAGCATAATGCTCAGTAGTTCTGCAATCTACTTCCTCTCATCCTAGGGAACACTTGTCCAGTTCAGATCACTGTGGCAGGCCCCTGGATTACTCCAATGGCCCACACTGGCCTCGTGGCCTCCTCCTTACTTTCCTCTAGCCTGTTCAGCTAAAGCAATTTCTCTAAAATGCGTATCTGTCGGGGCCTCCCCGGTGGCGCAGCGGTTGAGTGCTGGGTTGCGAAGCTGCCCACAGCCTCCGCAGCGCCGGTTCGATCCCCGGCTGCTCCCCGGCCACCGGAGGAGGGTCCCACATGGCGCGCAGACCTCTCCTGCCGCCTGCTGCTCCCCTCAGCAGTGTACCTCGGTCCTTCTGCCTGCTCTGCTCCCCGCTCTGGCTCTGGTGAATTCTCTCACCCTCCCGCGCTTCTGACTGTACCCAGTGCATGTATAAACAAAACAAACAAACAAACAAATAAATAAATAAAACATGCCTCTATTAAAAAAAAAAATGTTAAAAAAAAAAATGCGTATCTGTCAAGTTATTCTCTTCTTGAAAATTCTTCAAAGGTTTCCTGTTTCCCTAAGGATGAAAACTCCTTTTTATAAAATCCTTAAAATCTGACTACTGTTAACTCTTTATTATCATGTATTTCTCATTACTTTCCTAGCTGAACTATAAATGTTAACTTTGGTTTCTTAGAAAACCTAGGCATTTCTTTTACTGTCTTGACACACTGTGTCATCTCTGAAGCCTGTTCTTCCCACCTCACCTGCTGTAAAATTTCTCATCCCACCTCTCCAAGTTAGCTGAATTTTCCCCAGGAAGCCACTCTTGACCTTTAGATTCTGCTAGTTTCTCCATGGTGTGCTCCCATTCTACCTAATTTATTCCTGTTGTAACATCTATCATATTGCCTTACCCACCAAATAATACTTCCCCTGAACAAGTAGTATATACTCATTATTAGGCCAATTATGGAAGTAAATAATGAAGAAAGCAAACATCTCTAGTAATACAAATTCACAGCATTCTCATTTCTGTTCACACCAGATATGGACACTGTGCATTTAGTTTTAAAACTTTGCATGAGAGGGCCTCCCCTGGTGGCGCAATGGTTGAGCACTGGGCTGTGAAACTGCCCACAGCCTCTGCAGCGCCGGTTCGATCCCTGACCGCCGGCGAGGGTCCCACATGGTGCGACAGACCTCTCCTGCCGCACCCGCTGCTCCCCTCAGCACTGTATTTCGTCAGTCTGCCTGTTCTGCTCCCCAATCTGACTCTGGTGAACCCTCTCACCTTCCTGCGCTTCTGACTGTACCCAGTGCTTGTGTAAATAAATAAATCTTAAAAAAAAAACTTTGCACGAGATATACTAGATATCTTTATAAATGGTATTGTTTCAATGTACAGTGGCTCATGTGACTAATCCTATTAGCACTGAACATTTAGGTGGTTTCTGTTTTTTCATGAATTTAGACATTGTGGCAATGACTATCTTCATCCCAGTACTCTTTATACCTAACCAGTTATTTCTGAAAACATTATAGAAGAACCTATGTTAGTATCAAACTATACCTCCCCAGTGTTACTGCTTTTCCCCACAACCTTAAAAATAATCACTTTGTATAATTTTTCTCTTTTTAACCTGATTAACAGAAGAAAAATATATTTTTGACTTTTCCATGATTAACAGAAAGTTCAGTATTGTGTTTGCTGAGTGTTTGAGTTGTCCAAATTTGCCCAACTTTCTATTAAGTCAGATTCTGTGGAAGCAGCACTTGAGATGAGGACTTGCGTCAGTGATTTCTTGAGTGCCCTAGAAGGGAACGAGGGGAAGAGGACAAGGCAGTGAAGTTGAAGATGTGGTTTCAGGAGAAGTCTAACACTATGGGGGACAGAGGGGCATAAATTGCACCAACTGGGCCAGAGGCTGGGCTGTAAAATTGTAGGGTAAGGAAGAAGTATCAGGCTTTTCTGCCCTCCTGCCATCAAGATAGATGAGGGAACCCTGTGGTCCTGAATGCATGCCTGATGGCAGGCACCTGAAGTGGGTACACCTGGGCTGAGAGACTGAGTTTATAAGGGCGGCGTCATGGGGAATGCCAGCAGAAGCCAAGAACAAACAAAAGCCAAGAGAAGAGAAGCAGAGAGAACACCAGAGAGCCCAGATAGAATGAGGATTTGCTGGGGGCTGGGAGGACTGCCAGCCTCCCGGCCCCCCAGTACCCCTGCCTGCCATATGCCTAGTAAATCTAAATAAAAGACCTGCAAAAGCCACTGAGGACTCTTGACTCCTCCTTTACCTGATCTGCTGGATCAGAAAAACTGCCCTGTGTCATTCCTGCCCCTACAAATATCCTGCCTCAGACTCCACTCAAGGACCAAGCTTGAGGGTGGGGTGGGGGGGTGGAGGGGCGGGCAGTTAAAATTCCCAGGTTATCTCTGGATGACTCCCATTGCCCCAAGACAATCCTCTGGGCAAGGGTGAAGATAAATAGAGCTGAACATGGAAGCAGCTGGGAGTGGGGGTACTAGACAGCAAAGGGTATCTGGGTGAACACTAACTGCATTTGTCATGTTGCAAATTTGATTTTTCAAAACAATTCTTTAAAGTCAAGGATGCTAAATCTCTGGAATATGACTATAAATGTACTTTCTAAGTTGTCTGTATTTTGCTAACAAGAATTTCTATAGAGATAAACCAATCAAGTTTGTTTTGAATTTGACGACCATGTTTAGGCCTTTTCCAACCCAAACTTTACAATTTACTTACATCTTTGCTAGTGTTTTACAAGTCATTTTTTTCATTTTTAATTTTAAAAAATAAAATGTCATTGTTTTACACCTTTTTTAATATTTTGACAGTATAGGATTTCTCCCTCCAGGTGTGGTCCATATACAGTCTCTCTTACCTGGTCATGGTACACTGTTTTAATGGTTTCACTTTACCAATATTTTGTTAAAGCATGTACACTCATAAAGGAGGCTGGTGTAAAGCTTTCTCTTTTTAAAATGATCATTTTAAATGATTTTCTCATTTAAATGATTTTCTTTATGGCAATAGAACACAGGTGCAGTTATTTGCAGAGGGCTACTTCAACTTAATATGATGAACCTGCTATTTCAAATATTACTTCCAAAGTTGGTTGAGCTCAATGCTTTGTTATTTTTAACTTAATTATTAGGAAAATCAACATCAGGTTTTCAATTCTACAGGGGGGGGAGGATCCTATTTCAAGGACAGGTCAGCAGTGGAGAGGCGAGTGCAGAGCCTCCTGCATGTGGCTTCCATATACGTTCCCTCCTTCCACACATTTTACAGTGATTCCTTTTACAAAGAACTTTGACTTGATGAACACAAAGGAAGTAGCTTAAAAAAAGAATAGATTGAACAAGAGTCACCCCATAAATGTTTTTATAGTCCTCACAAATAGCCACTTTTTGAGTAGTATAATTGAAAAACTAAGCCATGTGCATCAAATACAGCAGAAAAGCTCAAAACATTTTTAAAGAAAAGTCTCATAAAATATTGAGACATCTCTTTATTCAATTTTACCTGCTATTTTATCACTTACATGAAAGATAAATAAGCTTTTCTCGGTTTTTAAAGTACGTATCTAAATTCATTAAGCTGGCAGTCTTTTTTTTTTTTTAAATGCTTCACTAGATTTTACTGACATGTTATTATAATGGTTTGAACACAGACTCCTAACTTTGAGCTCCAAGAAAAAACAGTAAATCATGTAAAGATTCCATTTCTGTTGAGGCTGATGGTCAGTAACAGGGAAGGAGAAAGTGCTGATGGTGGCTGGGTCCATTTCAGTCCTCACACTTGGCTTTCTTGCAAGCTGGAAGAGAATCATCCTCTCCTTCTGATGACCGAGGTTTCTTCACAGTAGAAATAATTCCAAAAGCAGTTTTTCTAGTTTCTGTAAAACAAGCAGGGAACCATAGTGTTTGAAGTTAAGACATGACTTCAAAAGAGGTGTCTCAACAAGGATCAACATTAACTTGCATGTTAACTTGCATCACCAGTGATGAGAAAACTCCAATGAATTGCTCGCTATTAGTAGTGATGCCATTTATTATCCATACCTTTTTATTCCCAACATACAAAAATAGTGATCCATATTAATATAATTTATTCCTGAGGATTGCCCCAAGGGTAAGACTGCAGGGTAGATTATCTCTAATGGTCTGCAATCTGTATGCTGATTCCTTGTATTCATTTAAAATGGACAAAAAATATAGACAGGACCATCTAAGTGGTTCTAAATCAACTGTTCTTTAATTTTAGGAAAACTTGATAAATGCCTAATCAACTTTGTCATTCCTAGAGTTAATGTGATGAAATCTTGTGTCTCAGTTACATAGTACAGTGATCTCAAACATGTTAATAACAAAAGCAAAATCATCTTAATTTATGGTTAGTCAATGCAGTGACCTGTTCTCCCAAGGAGAAATCACATTATTAAAATGTAAACAGGACACAATCAACCTTCAACAACCTAACTATTTCTATGTTCAGCAACTTAGTCTGTATGTAGCAAGCTATACTGAAGTTTAAAATTTTTCTGGCTGGTATCAAGTGAACTGATTCTTGAATACTACCCCACTAGTGCTAAAAATTAGAAAAAGAATGACAATAAAGTGGCAAATCCAAAATGTAATTTTTTCTTTTAAAAAAATCTTACTTTCATTCTCCAAAGTCTTAACAAATACTTTAATTTTTAACATTTGATGAAAGAGAAATTCAGTGGCTTCCAGTAGAATTAAGGTGAGGAAGTAATTATATATAAACGAAATGTAAGCCAAAAATGTCTAATCTTGAACATGTGAACAAACAGAGAAGAATCACAAGTTGCAATGAAGGTGAAGTCACAATCTGAGTTATTAGTTGGGTTTTAAAAATGTATTTTTGTATCTGTGTCCTTTGGCTTACCATATGTTTTTAAAATTTCAGTTCTCTAATACAGTAAGGAAAGCACCCCCCTCTGGAGAGGAGGGAGGAGAAAAGGAGATTAGAAGACTCAAAATGCAGGCGGACACTCACAGGCAGAGCTCAAAAGAATGCATTCAATACGTGTTTCTTTAATACAAACTATATTCATTCTACAAAAACAGAAAATAAAGCTTGAAGAGAATGAGAAGGCTTTGATGGGCATGGTCAACACTGGCTGAAGAAACATGACTCTAAAAGAACTCTGCAGTGGAGAATAATAAAAGCAGATATGGCTCAGTTGTTTGATAAAGATGATTGGCTTCTTCCATGACCATTTGGTGTTTTCATTGGAAGAACTTGCTCACCTCCATGGAGAATTGCTGCTCGGCAGTTGGTGGACACGGCGGCTTTGGCATCACCTTCAGACAGCCCGAAGAGCAACCCTCTGTGGGCTCATTAAAGATCTCAACCCAGAGGCAGCCAAGAACACAAGACTAACCATCAATAACACTCAAAATGCCAGCTTACCCGTTACAGCAAGAGAGGTTTTAATTCTATAACAATTGTTAGTCCAAGCGGAACATGTAGTTGAGAAGGGTTTATTTAACTCTAAGCTTTTATAAAACAGCATCTCCTGATCCCCTTTTTTTCTATCTCCTCCTTAATCCAGAAGACAGAATAATAAAGCCCTCTACAACCCGGAGCTTTTGAAGCTATGCAGTGTTGAACACAGTAAACAGTAAAGAAAAATATCTTTTTAAAAGTATAGGAACATATTAAATTCTAAATTTATTAATAGAAAATTTCAACTGAAAGTTTTCATCAGAAAAGGATACAAGTTTGCCACGTCATATGGGCCTCTAATTTCTAAAGGCTAAAATAAAACGAACAAAAAATAGACATGAGAGAAGTTATTCATAACATGTTCATGATTTCACTTGCAGTAAATTAATAGGATGCTTTAGGATCCAAAAATAAGGAAGTCAATTGCATAAAATTTAAGTTCTAATTTCAATAGGCTTAAGTTTTTGAAAATACTGTAAGATCCTTGAACAGCATTTTGTAACAGTATAAAGGAAAAGCTATTTATATAAAGAAAACTTGAAGCTGAAAAGGAATGGGATAAAATTTTATTTTCAAAGCAATAACAATGAGCAAATGCAGTTAAAAGTAAAATCATGCAGAAAACTTAACATTTTAATTTCTTCCCTAGAAACTTTTTAAAGCTTTATAACTTGAAAGTTGAAAACAAAGTACTTAATGCCAGACTTACCCTTTCTGCAGCGCTAGATATAATTACATTCTACAAAATAGAAAGTAATCAATATTAATCTTAGATAAATGTAAAAAAAACTGAAGAGCCTTATATAAATACCTATAATCACATTTTAACATTGAAGGCTCTATATAAAACCAACTTCTTTTAAAGATAAGGTTAGTTAAAAAAACTAGTTGAAAAGGTCATATAACCTTAATTCAACTCACTGATGACAACTGTTATTTAGACTATTCTTTTCACAGTAGGTAAACTGCAAATTCCTTTCTGAAAGATAAAGGCTTTCAACACATCCTTTGCTTCCTTACATGATTCATCTCTCTGTGCCCCAGAACTGTGGCTTTAAGAGTCAGTTTGACAATTCCAATGTAATAATAACAATAAACTGCAAGGTTTGAAAAACATCCTTAAATTATGGAACTATACCTTTCCTTTACAGATCTGCATTAAATTGAGGGCATTGGAAATCGTGTATCTTCTCATTGTGGAGTCTTTGATGGCAGGGCTATAGACAAGTTCAAAGCCTACGCCTCGTTCAATTGCCTTCACAGGAAATAAAGAAAATAAAGTGTCAAGGATAAACATACACTGTCCTGCTTTATTTTTACTGAAGTTCTCCCACACCCACCTCCTGCATGTAAGGTAGTCTTAAACAAAGACCGATTTTGCCTGAATAGCACCATCCACAGGAGAAGAAATCAGATCTGTGGCTCTATTTGATCAACAGAGTTTAGTTTTACATTAACAGGAATCCTGTAGTGGTTGAGGAGAGCAAAGTCCCAGGAGGAGGCAGAAGGCACAGAAGCCATGAACTATCCAAAAGAAAACAGAGATGTGTTCTCTACACTTAGGGCAAACTGCAAACACAGTACACCAAGCAATCTGACCTAAGAATAAAAAGACAGAGAAGTGAATAATTACAACATATCCAAGAAGAGGGCTGAGTACTGACTCTAAGTTGGGCACTATGCTAAGAGGTTCTGTGCATATTTCACTCTTACCATACCTTTACAAGGCATGGGCTGAGACTACTTTTTGCTCCCCAATAGCTGTTCTCTTCTTTTTCTGTAGCAATGGAGTCCCTAATTTTTAGCTGAGCTCATGGATGCCCTGCAAAAAAGATGGCAAAAACCTCAGCCCTTGAAGGTCTTGTCTGGACCAGCTTATCAGAAAAGCATGGCATTTTTTTTTTCACATGAGAAAAACAATCTTTCTTATTTAAGGCATTCTTTTAAAAAAAAAAATTTTATGCTTATAAGAGCTGGGGTGCAGGCGAGAGGCATGGGGGTTAAGAGAATTTACCAGACAGAGTGGGGAGCAGAACAGACAGATGTACTGAAATACAATGCTGAAGGGAAGCAGGTGAGACAGGAGAGGTCTGCTGTGCCATGTGGGTAGCTCCCTGGCCAGGGATTGAACTCATGCTGCAGTGGCTGTGGATAGCTTCACAGTGCTGTGTCTTAAACTCTTGCACAACCAGAGAGGCCCCTATTTAAGGCATTCTTAATAGGAGGCAGCCAGAGGTAAAAGCAGCCTGGATGGGTTGGAAATGGGAAGGAAACCCATCAGTACACTGAGTGTAGTGACTCAGTATCATCATCCATTCATGACAGCTATGTCTTAAGCCAACTATGTGTTGGAATGTAGATAAGAGTTAACATAGTTCTTCCCTTTTAAGAGCTTAGAGTTTAGGAGAGATAATCACATAATTACATAAAAAGACAAAACTTTAACAATGATAGTCACTCTCAAGGAGAATTCTAGGAGTGAGTGAGGAAGGAATAAAAAGCAGAGAGAGGAGCATTTTTGGAGGAAGGAGGGGTATGTCGAAAGGCTCTGGGTTGGAGGGAGCAGGCTGCACTCAGAGCAGGTAAAGGTTGGGAAGAGTGGATGAAGGGGGAGATATAAGTCATAACATGTTACTTTGGTGGATGGAGGCGAAAGAGGATGAGAAGAACCAACTGTGAAGGGTTTAGAGCTAATGATAGGATTAATCTTAACCTCAATGAGAAGCATTTGAAGGACTTTAGCAGCGGTGGAGATGATAATCAGACTCAAAATGGCAGTCATTTGGTTGCTTTTTTTTTTTTTTAAGATTTATTTATGCATATAAGAGCTGGGGTACAGGCCAGAGATGTGGGAAGTGAGAGGATTCACCAGAGACAGAGTGGGGAACAGAACAGGCAGACAGACCGAAATACACTGCAGTGGGGCGCAGCGGGTGAGAGAGGAGAGGTCTGTTTTACCATGTGGGTAGCACCCTGGCCGGGGATCGAACTCATGCTGCCTTTTAGCGTCACAGTGCTGTGCTTTAACCCCTTGTGCCACCAGGGAGGCCCCTACTTTGTTGCTTTTGAATCAGCGAAGGAAGGAAGGCAGGCACAGACCAGACATTTTGGTCCAAGTCTCTGCCTGGCAAAAGAGTTGCAAGTTGGGACTGGTCCAGCTATGACTGCTAGAGGTCTACTCCTGAGTGTTTACAGGAAATAGAAAACTTTCCTTCCAGAACTGGCCACCCACCTTGACTTAACTCAGGTATACCTGTCAGGCTTCCAATTCTGCACACAGATTTCCTCCCTGCCTCACTCTTCCTTTACCTTAACTTTTCCTCCTGCCTTGAGGCTCCCAGAATTTTAATTTTGGGTTTCTCTATTGTTCTGATATTAATTTAGCTGAATTAACATGCTATTTTCCACACTGCAACCTTCCCTTCTCCCCTTTTTCATATACTTTTCCCACCTCGAATGCTTTGGCTTGTGTTGATCATTTCTGGGGATGATGTCGGTTATGGTATTCTAAATGCCATAGGAAAGTATACCTCATTCTCCCCGCCTACCTGGTATATTTGAGAGCTGGTCTCAAGATACATCTAAGACACAACTGCCTTTTATACACTATTGTTTAATATATTTATGTTTTGAGTGAATATACAGCTTATATAGAAGATCTCATTTGTTCATGCACTTCACTATGGATTATCCACCATAAAAGGAACCAGGATGAATTGGTGATGGGAATTTTGTGGGGACTACACCTGAAAGGAGAAAGCACGCACTGTACAAAAAGGAAGGGTGATGTAAAATATATATAAAATTAAATTAAAAAAAAGAAATTCAAAGATAAACCAAAATAGCTCCTGCAGTCTAATTTTCAACTACCCCCCCAGCTATTTCAATTACCTAAACTACTAACTAGCCGAAGAGGCTGACATATTTCTCTTTCTTATCCTTCTAGTTGCTGAACCAAAACTCAAGGCAGCAGAATGGAAGAGAGAAGAAATGAAAGATGTGGATGATACACAGAACTGGGTGACCAGGTCCTAAAGTATGATTAGTTGAAATTATAATTTTAGTGCCCTTGATCAGATCAAAATAACAGCACCACCCCCCACCTTTTTTTTTTTTTTTTTGATGGGGTAAAGAGGGGAGGAAAAATGACATAATTATCACCTTCATTATTTTGTAAGAAAAAAGTTCTGGTTTAATCTTGGTATGTTAATCAAGTTCACTTTAAAACTGCTAAGGAAACTCTGAGACAGGGAAATTAAAGATAATGTGCTCCTGAAGGTTGTGAACACTTCTCTCATACACCTTATTTGAAATTTTTAGAAAGATAAAATACAGGCTCATTCATTACCTGAGCTCCTGCTTCTAAGACCATTTTAATGAAAATTGCCTTAAACTCATCAAATGATTGTTCAGAAAAAGCCTTTTCATAAAGAGTAACAGTGCCTGCCTGATTGGCTTTTGTTCGTATATCTGACCAAAAGTTCTGGAATAGGTGGATGATCAGATTTCTTTACTAATGAGAAATAAGTCTTAATGATGCTACAAACCAGGGGCAGGTGTGTGGTACTTGAATCAAGCGATATTGGTGGTGAAAATCAAAGAACTAAGCAAACCTTAAGACAAAGAAGAGAGAAAGAATAGGGAGTTGATTACTGGGAGAATATATGGATTCTCTGTTCATTTCATAAAAAATTAGTTCTTTATTGAATTCAAAAGTATGATACTCTTTTGGTGTATCATTCTTGAAGATAATTTGTTCACATGATTCAGAAATCAAAGTAACACAAAGTTTTACTTGTATCTCTGCTTCCATCTACCCTAGTCCTACCTCTCATAATCACTTTCATTAATTTTTTGTGTCCTTTTCCAGAGTTTCTTCATACAAATATAAGCAAATAAGAATATGTACTGTGTTTCCTCTTTCTTACCCAAAAGGTAACCTGCTCCAATCTTGTTCTGACCTGAAGGGTTTTCCATGTCCAACTTCCTCAATCTGTTCTAAAGCTGCATAATATTTCATTGCAGAGGTATGGCAGGTATTTAACCAAGACTGCTGACAGACTTTGGGTCATTTCAATATATATGGAGAATAAACACTAAAGTGGGATTGCTAGGGTTTAGGAGTAGAAATGTATTTCCAAAGGTATATTGAAGTGCTAACCCCCACTACCTCAAAATGTGATCTCATCTGGAACTGGAGTCATTGCAGATTTAAATAGTTAAAATGAGCTCCAACTGGAAAGGGTGGGCTCCCATCCAATATGACTGAATCTTTTAAGATGATGGCCATGTGAAGACAGAAAGACACAAAAAGAAAAGGCTTTGTCTAAAGGCAGAGACTGAAGTTATGTAACTGTAAGAAATGACCGCCAAAGATTGCTGGCAAACCACCAAAAGCTAGGAAGAGGTAAAGAAGGACTGTCCACAGGTTCCAGAAGGCGCCTAACTGCTCACACCTTGATTTTGGATTTCTAGCTTCCAAAACTGTGAGATAATAAATTTCTGTTGTTTTAAGGCACCCAGTTTACAGGACTTTGTTATGGCAGCTCCAGGAAATGAACACACTAGGTCCGAGAGTAAAGCATTTATCATTTTGATGGCTGTTGCCAAATTACCCACTCCTCCATAGGGACTGTTCCAATTTACACTGTTACAAGCAATGTATGAGAATGCCCGCTTTCCCACAGTCTTACAACACAGGGTATAATCACTTTTCTGGGTTTGGGCCGATCAGATAGGTGATTTTAATGTGATTTTCTCTTATTATGAAGAATTTAAGCAACATATGTTTCACATGTTTATGAATCATTTGTATTTCCTTTTCTGTGAAATGTCTTCTTCACATTTATTTGGATTGTTCACCTTTTTATTTTTAACTTCTCAACATCTTGGAGCTCTCTATATATTGAGGAGATTAGCCCTGTGTTTATGGCATTAGTCTTTTTACTTTGTGTAGGGTAAGTTAAAAGTATCAGGCTTTTCTGCCCTCCCGCCATCAGGACAGATGACGGAACCCTGTGGTCCCAAATGTATGCCTGATGGCGGGCACCTGGAATAGGGTGTGGGCATAGGTAGATGGGATTCACCTGGGCTAAGACTGGGGTTTTTAAGGGTGGTGTCACGGGGATGCCAGCAGAAGAGAAGCCGAGAAAAGAAGCAGAGAACGCTAGCCTCCCAGCCCCCCTGCCTGCTGTGTACCTGGTAAATCCCAATAAAAGCCTGCAAAAGCCACCAAGGGCTCCAGGACTCCTCCTTTACCCCGTCTGCTGGGATCATAGAAACCCTGCACCGTCCTCTACTACCGTTACAATTTGTTTCTGGGTTTTGTTTTGATTTTTGCCATATAGAAATTTTTGATCCTGGAAAATTTATTGACAAATGTACTGGTCAAAGTGTTGGATTAATAAAGTACCTAACACATTTAATTTCCAATATGTGATTAAAAAATAAAGAGCACTCACAGAGCACTCACACTAAAGCCTACATGGCATGATTCCTGAACAACCTCACTGCCTCAGACACTATTTCCTATACATCATTCCATGGGGATGAATTGGATCATGAATATAAAAATGGATAAATGTTAAAAGAAATGTTGAGGAGAAAACATCAGAGAACATAAAACATAATTACTGGAAATAACTCCATAAACTTGAAGTCATTGCTGAATAGCACTAACATTGAAAAAAAAAAATCAAAGGGAAGGTAAAGATAGGTGATGCTTAAAAAAAATTCTTTTCAAACACTGAATTCGTAGAGATCACGTCTTAAACTATGAAGTTATTCTTATGAACCTAAACTATGAAGTGCTTAGCAAAGATCTCTGCTCTAAAGTAACTTTAAATAGCATTTCCCAGTAGGGAATGACAGCAGATTTAGAATCAAAGCTTGTGAGCAGGTTGATAAAAGATGTAAAAGAAGCAAATAGCATTTTTAAAGGAGTTTATCTAAAGACACCAACTACGTATATATGTTGTTAATCAAGAGTACCTACCCATATATCTAAAAAGACAACTGGAGTCACTTGCAATGTGTTATTTTATCTTTTAATTCATCTCTATCTCATACTCTGACTCTATCTCATACTCACATTTTACCCAAAGGACAAAGAAATGATACAAATTTCGAGAAACACGACAAAAATGTAATTACAAAAAAACAAACCCCAACTTTTGAGAGAGAAGTGTTATCTTTGTTGTGCCATTATCTGAATCTCATTTCTGCAAAATTTCTATCTTGCACGTAATTAACATCTATTCTACCCTACCCTAAAGCTGCTGGGCCATAACCAGTATGCAAGAGCATAAGCTATAAAATGTTAAATAATCAGAAGTTATTTGATTATCTAAGAGTTGAATTCAATTTTTTAGAAACCCAAGTGTAGGGTAAGGAAAAAATGTCAGGCTTTTCTGCCCTCCCACCATCAGGATAGATGATGGATCCTTGTGGTCCTGAATGCATGCCTGATGGCAGGTACCTGGAGTAGGGTGTGGGCATAGGTAGATGGGATTCACCTGGGCTGACTGCTTTTAAGGGCAGTGTCATGGGGATGCCAGTAGAAGCTGAGAAGAAGCTGAAAGAGAAGCCCAGAGAGAAGCAAGAGAAGCAGAAGCCGGGAGAAGGCCGGAGAGCCCACAGAGTGAAGACCTGCTGGGGGCTGGGAGGCCTGCCAGCCTCCCGGGCCCCCAGCCTGCCATAAGCTTGGTTAACCCCAATAAAAGACCTGCAAAGCCACTGAGGACTCTGACTCCTCCGTTACCCAGTCTGCTAGATCAGGAAACTTGCTCAGTGGCCATTCCTGCCCTTTACACCAAGTTTCACATGATAATGTTATGATTCCTGTCAAATTACTTACAAAACTCCAGAAGAGATTATAGGAGATTGGAGAGGGAATTATGTAGCTGAAATTACCGTGCCTTAAGATGTGTTGAAGACAACAAAAGGGACAAGGGCTGTAAGTCTTACAAGTGGAGCATGCTGGTGTGCTCTACAGCCAGGCCTTCTTCAATCCCAGCCTCAGCTAATTACTCTCACGTGGCATGTCGCCACTTAAATACAAGATTAATGAATTACCTTTTTAAATGCTCCTTCTTTCACCACCAAAAACCAGCCACAAACACTATCCAAATTAAGATCTTGTTTTCTCAAGTGCCCGATGAAGTGCCCCCTCACAAAAACAGCCCCTCAACTTTTCATGGCCCAAAACAAGTTTATCCTCTTGGCCAAAGAAGCACAAGGACTGAGACTCAAGATCCAATTGTTACCCACACCCAGCACATGAGCTGTGCTTTCATGGTGACTGTTTCCATCCGTCAGTGTAAATATTCTGCTCCATAGATCCGAACAGATACAAACGATACTTCACATCCAAAGGACTATTATTTAACCCAATAAACAAAATGTTATGTTATACCGTGGGCTGTAGTTCAAGTATTGTATGCTATATTCTAGTGTACGTGTCTAGTTTTCTCTTTTAAATGAAAAACAGGTGAATAAATGAATAGGGACTTTTCTGCTTTCTGACCAACTCACACTGCAACCTACTTCTACGCTAGATGAAGACTAAAAATAATCTCGCACAGCCCTCCCCTCCACTCCATCATCTAGTTTTTATTAAACAACATATGTAAAATGTTCACACCAGATTTTAAAAAAAGCAGACACTGTGTTAAATACTGCATATCCCTCTGGCTTCTCAAATTTTTACTTTTCAGAATTCTTAAATTGAAAAATGTGGGAATGAAGCCAAAAATATCCATCAAACAACAGCAGCTTTCCTGAACTTACAGATGGAACTGGTGGCCCGGATGTCCTGGTGCTACTGTCTCAAGGCCACACCCTGCTCCTCAGGCCGCCCCGGTGCCCCACTTAAACCAATCACAAGCACCAGTGACTAGCCATAAGCAGAGTTTGTCCAGGTTTCCCAAGCTGGCCCTGATGTCAACTTGATTGACAAATTTTAGGGAGGACCCTTTACAGGTAAGCTACTGGGAGATAAAAAGGACTGGGGCATAGCTGGTGCTCACTAGAAGCTTACTACCTGGGCTGACCAGCAGGGTGTGTTCATAAGAAACCAACTGAAAGCACTCACAAGAGCCACGGGGAAGCCTGCCATTATCATGGGACATCATGAATTACATGCTGTGCACTGCTATCCTTGGCCAAGGACACAGTAACATACATGGGTTTACTCGAGCAAAGCCATCTAGAAAATGCCTTCTGAGTTCATTAAGGTGAAGAGAGAGGAAAAAAGTTGTAGGTCTAAAAGCAATATACAAGGCATTGCAATGCCTAATTCCAGGGAGGGCCATTTATATAAAAACTGGGTTGGCAGTTTGAGGCTGGTAAAAAGTCTGGCAAACTTCTAGAGAGAGAGACAGCTACCTATGGAGAGGAAAAATATGTGAAGCCAATAGGACTGTCATAACCTTCAGTGCTGTTTTAGTCTGCACCTTTTATCAGAGATGGCTGGAGCACATCAGAGTCTCAGGTGACAGGGAATCAATCAGAACTGTCCCACTCCTGTGACTGGAGGGCTAAAAGGTTTCGGATGCCAGCTTTCATTTCACGGTACTTGATAAATAAGCTGTTAAACTGACATCTCCAGCTCTAAAATGTGATGACTTGGAGATTAAGGATTTGCTTGTTAATTGTTAAGTATTGGCAAGAATGTGGGAGTTTCAATGATTTGAGCTTAACCAATATTGTGATAAGCTCATTAGTACTTTCAATATTTTTTCAGAAAAGAGCCCTGTTCCCTTTAAATATGTGACTTTTAAATCTTGGGCACTTTTCAAATACAGTTTTAGTAGCCTATTTTGGGGGATCGGATGTAAGTCAATTTAAATTTTTCCACACTGGATTCAATTTTTCCACACTATAGAGATCAATTTTCTTCCCTTATAGTCACCCTTTACTCTTGGCATCAAGCCCATTTCTGCACAGCAGAGACAGGTAAACAAAGATGGAAGAAGTTGTGATTCTACAGAGAGAAAAAATAAGGAGTTATGGATCTTGAAAGAATACATATATTTAAAATTTTTCAATTCTGACAAGATTGGGTATGTAATCTGTACTGTGTTAAATCCTTTTTCTCCTTCAACACTAATTTTTCATAACAAACTGTGGAAGCCACTATTCTAAACTAGCACTCTAACCCTTCCTAGGATCTGGCTGCGAAGGCAAATAGGCTGATCCTGTAGTTACTGATATGAAATAGTAACACCTGGATGACGGAATAAGACTTTGAAGAAGGTGAGACAGATGGAAGACGAAGGGTAGAGGCATCAAGAGAAATCATGTAGAAGAATAATGAGAACAGTTCTGCAGCAGAGGGAGGAATAAACAGTTCCCTGAATGCATGGCCACACTCTAGGGTTATTATGAAAGTAACCCTGGGCTTTCCTGTGGGCCAGCTTGTCAATGAGGTCTTTAACTTTACATGGCCCTCAGCCCACGTGCATTTCATTCCTGTTCCCTCCTGCCCACTAGCTTACTGGTTCCTGGGGAAAGAAGGTTCCTTATTTGGTTCCTTCTTTCTTGACTTGTGTCCCCTTAATGTTCAAAGTTCAGGCTACAAGTTTCTATCGTTATTTACTATCTTTTTCAGAAATAACCTTCATAAGTTTTGGTTTCTAAGGCCTTTCAAGAACATGTTGATAATTTACTGGATATGTTTTAAGTTTCATTTCTTCCTTTAGTCAGCCTATAAAAATAAAACTCTCTTTTCTAAACTGCCTCTTTAATACCTACCCTGTTTTTCTAAGAAAACCTACCCTGTTTTTCTAAGATATTTCTTCGGCCCCTTTTCCAGTCTTTGCCAAGTTTCTACAGATTAAGTATAAAATAGAAAGTGCAATACTTACCACATTAATAGGGGGTCTTTTGAAGTAAAATGGTAGTTTCTCTGTTACAGTTATGCACACTAAATCCACATCTAAGTGTGTACAAGCAACCTGCCAAGAAGAAAAACAGATGTAAAGCCAAAAGGAAAATTGGTGCTCCTTAACAATAGGAGATGCTAGGGTCAAACCTTCTATAAAGAAATAAAAATAGATACGTTTTTTCTGTAGGCATATGGTGGTTCTGTGTTGAAGACCATCTGACCCTTTACAAAGTCAGTGGTCGGTCATTCCTTCAAGTTTCATCTAAATGATTTCACTACAATCTAGTGGAAGCAGAGGAATAGAGACCATCTCAACAGACAGGGCTTAGAGACTCTAACTCATGCCTGCTAAATAAGGATGGGTTGCTAAGCAAGGCTCAGTTTCTGGAAAGTTATTTCAGATTGTTCCAGAAACAGGAAACGGACTGTTCTGAAATCCAAGAAAAAAATAAGTCAAAAGGAATGTAGGCACAGTCCATTTATTCCACAAATTATTTGTTTTTGTGCCAAGAATTGTCCCAGGCCTATGGCTCTTATCAGTCTACTAAATCGCTGTAGAAATGTTAACAAGGCGCTACCAGTGGAATTTTGCTCAAACACTAATAGAAACAAATGGTCTACGTAGATGGGCAAAGCAGAGCTGCTACAAATCAAATGATACCAAACGCATTTTTTCCAACTTTTAATTCCCCCATCTTTTGTTCTAATTTTTGCTATTATTTGTTGAGCAATACTCTAAATTTACTTTCAAGAGAGGTTTGAGTATGTCTTATTGAATATTACATAAAGGGCCTCCCTACTGGCACAAGAGGTTTAGTCTCAGCACTATCAAGCTATTGCCAGCAACTGCAACGTGAGTTCAATCCCCAGCCAGGGAGCTGACCCACATGGTACAGCAGACACCTCTCCTGTCTCACCCACTGCTCCCCTCAGCAGTGTATTTCAGTCAGTCTGCCTGTTCTGCTCCACACTCTGTCTGTGGTGAGTCCTCTTACCCCCAAGCCCCGCACCTCTGGCCTGCACCCCAGTACTTGTATGCATAAATAAAATCTTTTTAAAAATATTACATAAAGATAAGATAAATGGAGAAGGAAATGCGGAAAAATGAAAAATCTGGGAAGGAAAATAAAACCAAGCTGGGAAAAGTTACTACCCTAAGTCTACAGCTAAAAGACACTTCTAGAAGATACTTATCTGACTCTGATTTTGCCAATATTTGATTTATAGTCATAAAAAAAATAGCTGTTTTATACTGCATTAAAAGTAAGCCTTACTAACAATGCTGGTGTATACAGGCTTGATGAACAAATTCAAACCACCAGAGTAAATTGCCTCAGGGGCACAGACCAAGGGAAATTACTTACATGTAAGGAGGAGCAGTAAGGAGGGAATAAGAAAGCTAAGAGGGTAAGCTCAAGTTTTAGTAGTGAAGGGAATTTCACATCTTCACCTTTTTCTTCTGAAACCCTACTTCAGCCACTCCTAGCTCCACCCAGGGCTTTATAAAGTAAGTAGTGATCAGAGGCTCCCTGGCTTTGAGTCACTCATACTCATAGTAACCCAGTAAGCCAGGGAAGTAATTTTCTGTTTTGGCAGAAACATTTGGTTCATGAAGTATCTATCGCATCCCAAATGCCCTGGATGTCCAACTCATAAAAGAGTTATTGATACTCTGATAAAAATGAATGAAGAACAAGTAGGAATAGTAGATCAAACAAGCTCAGCTTGTGTTTGCCTTTTTAAAAATGATCACAATGGCACAGATCAAAGAGTTCAGTTATATACCACTGACATAATAATGAATAAATAAGCATTTGTGGGGTCTTTAAATCAGAAGCCAGTCTTACAAAGCACTTTAGCAATAGGTATCAAAATTCCAAAGGCACACACCAGCATTTTCAGCTACCAGAATGTATCCTATAGGCTATAGATGAGTTCTATATAGCTATCTATCTACAGATGTGTTCTATATAGCTATATACCCTACAAGTGTTCATGGATGTCAGGGGAAAGACAGTCACAAAAGACAGGACACAATTAAACATTTCTCAATTTTACTTAAAGGAATTATGGTTCCTTTATACAATGGAAAACACCAACTACTTAATTATGGAACCATCACAAGATATATTATTAGGTGAAAGCAACGCAGGGTTAGGTAAGAAGGAAGAAGGGAGGACCTCCCTGGTGACGCAGGCGGTTGAGCACAGCGCTATGAAGCTGCAGCATGGGTTCGATTCCTGGCTGGCCGTGGAGAGACCCACATGGAATGGCAGACCTCTCCTGTCTCGCCCGCTGCTCCCCTCAGCAGTGTATTTCAGTCAGTCTGCCTGTTCTGCTCCCCACTCTTGTCTCTGGTGAATCCTCTCACCCTCCCACACCTCTGACCTGTACCCCAGCTATTGTATAAATAAAAAAATACATCTTTTAAAAAATAAATAAAATAAAATAAAAGGAAGGAAGGAGGGGGGGGATATGAAGGATCAGGTACATGATATGTCTGAAAAGAACTGTTAGGAGTGGCAGCCTCTGAAGAGAAGGGAGAGGGAGGTTTAGGTGGGAGGAAGGTGTGCTTTTCAATGCCTACTCCTTTGTACTGTTTGAATTTATTATCATGAACATAAGTTGATTTTCATTAAGAAAAGCTGATTCATTTTTTAAAAGCCTGTTACATATTTTTCCCCAGAACAAAGCTAAATTAGGTTACTTTTTTACTTATGCATGACGCCCTTTCCCCCTCTCCTATACAACAGGGGCTAATTAAAAAATATCCCTTAGGTTGATTTAAGTACATGCATTATAATAAATTTTCAGTTACAAAGGACAGCTCTATATGGTTCTCCTTTGCACCTCAAACTTAAAATGTCTCAAACTGATTTCTTTTGTTATTTAATGTTCAATTATTCCAAATGCTTGGTTGATACATTTAGATAACTACAAAATAAGAGCTAATGATCACATTATAATGAAATGCTTTCTAAATCTTTTAAAAAGATTAAATTATGTTCCAATAAAGCTAGTAATCAAGAATCTTATTATAAACAGTTTTGGTAAGTTGTGTATGAATTCATATCAGTTGTGCTTAACCTTTTTTTTGACCAAGGACTCCTATGAGGATTTAAGGAAAGCTTATTTTCACCAAAATGCATATACATACTCATATATTTATCTTTGGCTTTATGGAACAGGGGGAACAGGAAGGCAGGGATCACAGTCTCCCCCAAGCCATCTTCATGGATATCAGGTTAATACATTTTGGTATTTTATAAAAAACATGCAATGGAGAACCAGGCTTACCCATGAGGGAAAAAGCAGTTCAGAAACAGTGCCTCTTATTTATATGTAAATTAAATCCCCCCTGAAGAATTTATTAAAAATAGAGACTACTGCGTCCCACTTTCAGAGATACATTCAGTAAGTGGGGTCTAATTGTCTGCATTTTAACAAATATCATTGGCAGTTCTGAAGCTGGTAGAACTTGATCACACCTTGAGAAACAATGCCTTGAAAGATATCCCTTTCCTCGTGCCTCAGGTACTGGTAGCATCCTCTACAGCAGTGCTCTTCAAAGACATGGATTTTGGAAGTAGAAAGAAAATAGAACTTCTATGTCCATTAGTTTTTAATTTGCTCTCAAATTTATTTTGTTTTGTGTATGTATATTATTTTATAGCATATATTAGTCATAATGGGACATGCAAATAATCTATAAGTAGCATACATATATTGGGAATGCAAAGGTGATTTTATTTTTTGGTAGGGTGTGAAATTTAATCAGTTTGGAGACCACTAGGTAACCTGAATTCCCCTCATCCTCTTCAGTCACATTAAGTCCTAAATAGAAAAAGCTGACTCAGCAGCTCCTGAAGCTACTATGCCACTCACTCTGCCACATTCCACCACTGCCTCTTACCCAAGAAGTCAATGAACTACCTTCACAAACTTTCATTTTTGCCTTCTCCCCTGGAGTAGCTATGGAGAGGGTTTATCTATGAGACACCTTACAGATACTCTCAGTGGAAAACAGTATGCTATTGCCCATGGAAACTATGCTATTTAAGGTGGTGAGATTTCATACTTCTAATTGTTAACATCTGTGTATGTACATACTTTGATGATTCATCTCAGAGAGCGAATCTAACAGCTTTAGAATATCATATCTACATGGATATCAGTTAAAATTCCATAATCAACTTGCATGTCAAATAAATAAAATCACTTATAAAATAGGTTTGTTAAACAACAAACTGCTTGCACTTGACCTGATTCCAAACCATGATTTACTAGCAAAAGTTTTATTTAAAATGATTTTTTATGCAAGACAGAGCGTACTAATTTCAATGAAGTCTTGGTAAGATTTGGACAGATAAAAGGAAGACATTCCAATTTTAAAAACTGTGTTTTCACATAACTCATTGAATAGATCCACAGTGTCAATTCCAAATAAATACTTTGAGTTATTTATAGCTTTCTTCTATCTTTCAGACTATTTCTTACTATTCTGCCCACCACCAGCAAGAATGTGTTCGTGCTTTAGAATTCAAACTTTTCAATTGTCTGAGAAAAACCAGTTAGAAGAGAAATAAGTTAAACATCACTATTTGAAATTAAGTGTATTCTAAAATCCAGAAGTTCCTAGCTCTATATACTACTTGAAACTTACTCATCTGTTCTTCTGAAATAAAATTATTGAGATTACTATAGTTGAGCATTTTACAATGGGTGTCACCAAAATAAAGGCACTCATGGATGATTTGTATTGTTTCTCTGCATTAATATAAACAGTTAAGAACTAACAGCATGCCTAGAAAACTAACTTTACCACACATCCACCTCCTTAGACAACAGCCCCATCTACTGGATAAATTTAGTGAAAAATTCCCTACAATTTTAAAAGATTCTGCTTAAAAATAAACTAGCCTGTAAAATTAAAACATCAATGACCAGGATTTTTTTTCCTATAATATCCTTTTGGTGGAGATACACTTAGTAGATGGATACTTTTTCCATAAAGACAATATTCAGAACTTTCTAAAGTGTTTATACCTCACTTTACACAGTAAAACATTTTCCTGAAAAACTGTATTACAGTTGTTTTTTTTTCCTTTTTCATAATCATTAAAAATGCCCAGTGGTGGGGCCTCGCTGGTGGCATAGGGGTTAAAGTCTCAGCACCATCAAGCTATTGGCAGCCACTGCAGCATGAGTTTGATCCCTGGCCAGGGAGATAACCCACATGGTGCAGCAGACCTCTCCTGTCTCGCCTGCTGCTCCTCTCAGCAGTGTATTTCAGTAGATCTGCCTGTTCTGCTCTCACTCTGTCTCTAGTAAATCCTCTCATCCCCTGTATAAAGAAAATGATAATAATAATAATAAAAATGCCCAGTGGCTTCTGTCTCAAGTTGACAAAATAAGTGTATATGTCAAATGGATTTCCCTCCTGAAAAGGCAGGGAAATGGCAATTTTTTAAAGCACAAAATGAAATTTATATTTACAAAGGCTCTTGGAACAAAAAGGGGGGTAATATTAGCAGAAGGTTGATTTTAAAGAATTTCTGGAAGACCAAAGGCTCCATGATCAGGCAGACATATAGACCACACCTCAGAGCATGCAAAGAAGTTGTAACATGGATGGGAGTGTGTGCACCACAGGAGAACCCCGTACTTTCCTTCCTTCCCCAGCAGCAGTGAATAGTAGGAAGGGCACAAACTGATGTGGCTTTAGAGTCAGAAAGAGATGAACAATATTTACATAAGACAAGTTACAAATGAATGAATGAAGCAGAGGTCAAGAAACAGAAGAAAACCTGATGGACTCTTACAAGTTGAGTCAATTAACTGTCTAGCAGGATGAATAAAACAAAACGAAAAATATACTCCAACTACATACACACTGGTGGAATTTCAGAACTCACAGTATTAATGAAATATTTTTAAAGTTTCCAGATGGGGCAAAACAGGTCACCACAAAAGCATAAATCAGACTTCTGTGAAGTAGTAAAAACGATTTTCTTCTATTTCCTGTTACTTACATGAAAAAGTTTCTCTGTCTTTGGGAAAACTGCAACAATATCGTACAGCCGAACTCTTGAAGACGTTGCTCTCTATGAATATAAAGAGAAGGTTATCTTATAGTAGCAAAAAACACATAGGTGAAGTTCGGCCCACTAGCCTGGCCACACTTATATTTGAAGCACCTTACATTTCTAATATGCCAATGACATTTCTACTTTGCTTTTGCGTTGGCAGAAGAGACTTTCTAAGCACTTGAGAATGTGAATACCAACACCCATGCCACAAATCATCTCCCTCCCTCCAGGGCTATGCTTAATGTGTACCAAACATTGTGTCTGTAACACACAAATCAAATCAGAGAGCCCTTGCTCTTATAAGCAGGTGAAGGACCTTGCCAGATATTTACTAAGCACCTGCTGTGTGAGGGGCATTGAGGATACAAAGTCATTTATGGCATATGTCTGCCTCAATGGAACTCCCTATCTCTTTTTGTTCTTTTTGTTAGATAAGAAATACACATGAGAAAGCATGACATGACAAGGTTGACATTAAGAATATTGTTAAATACAAATTAGATGTGCAAGAAAATACCTGAAAGTACTAAGACAGGAGAAAAATTTATCAGTTAAAGTTATTACTTACAAAAAGAAAATCTGAAACATATACTGTATGTGTGTGCATTTGAAAAGAGTGGAAAAAATATATATGTTCTAAATGTAACAACTCTGAGTAACAGGGTAATATGTGATATTTCATCTTCGCCTGTTGGAACCTTTTAAATTTTTGCTTCTTATTTTACAAAAAGGAAAAGGTATCACAAGTTAAAGTTGTGCTTAAGAGAAGAAAAATGTGCTGTATTTAAGTAGGTGAGAGGGCCTGCTGAGTAGACCTGTGCTGATTGAGCGTGGGCTCCCAGTCTTAGAAAAAGCCAGGACCCAGGATTTTCTCTCTCTGCTTGCCCTCTCCCACTTGAGAAGGGCTGCCAGGATGTTCATAACAACAGTAAAGGAAGGTATTTATGACCTATTAAAAGTCAGCTTCTTGTCTACGTGGGCAGAGAACCAGAACACAGCTGTAAAAGGAGTCTGGCCTTTCCTCTGTTACCCCTGTTCTATGATAGGAGTCCATTCCAGCTAAAGGTAAGAGTTCACCTTCTCAGAGTCCTCTCTGTCTTCCCAACTAAATCTGTTCTCTCAACAGGCAAACACAAACCTCTCCTATCTAACAAGAGCTAGACAACAGGTTCTCTTTCATAATTTCCCTATGCCTTCTTTGTCCCTATGGAGTCAAATTTCTCAAGCAAAGTGAGGACATACCATCTGCATTTCCTTACATCCCTATTATTTCCACACTGGTTATGCAAAGAAAAACAGTGAGTCCCCTGCCAAAATATTCTACAGCAATGTTCTAGCTCTTCTCCTTGGCTACTCAGACACACTGATGCCAGTGCTGACCCTGACCTGTCTTTCCCTGTCCTTCCTCACTGTTCTCCTTGTCATTCTACTTCTCAGCACTTGTCAGTCTCCATTTCCGGCTCACGCTCCTCAACTCCAGCAATAAATGCTGAAGTTCCTTGGGAATCTGTCGTAGACCTTTTCTCTCCACATCAAACTGACCAGGGAGTCTCCTCCATCCCTATGATGTTAACTACCCTTCAGAGGGTGACCACTTCCAAATCAGCATCTTTAATTGGGATCACTCTTCTGAGGGCCACATGTTTATTTCCTACTGCTCACAATAAACTCGCTACACCCCAAAATCATGTACCATTTCAGGAAAAGGCACCACCTACCTGGTTGCTCAGGCCACATCAGAAGTCAAGAGTCCTATGCTCAATCAATCAATAAATCCCACCAATCCTCCCCCAGGAATAGCTCTCAAATTCCCTACTTAGCCTCCTCTGATTCATTCTCTATAATGCAAACCTAATTTTACTCCCTTCGCTAAAACTCTCATGGGTTTCTAACTGCTCACCCAGGCCTGGTCCCCTAACCGCATTGCAGATTGGCCAGTTCACCTGGTACTTCCTACTGGTGTTATTTCATCCCAGAGCACATGGTATTTTCTTTGGCTTCAGATCTTTGTATAATTCATCCTGTCTATGAGAGTACTCTTCTCGGCTCCGCACCTATTAACACTTACTGTCACCCACCTTCTTTCTGGTTTGTGTAAGTTCAATGAGTAATAAAAGGTTGGCAAAGGAGCATGATACAAGTTCCAAGAGTAGAAGAGATATCTGTAAACTATGTGAACTCTGAGGACTAGGAGAGCAAGCAGGTGTCAAGTAAGGTGGGGGAAGAGGTCATGTAAGAATGGAGCATGGTGGAAAACAACACTATTCAACATCAATGACTAGAATCTGAAAGGTCAAAAAGAGAGAAAAATAATCAACTTACTAAAACATTGCAGTGAGATGGATCCGAAACAATAATCGTCAGTCTAGTCAAAATTTTTATAGGTCTTGATTTCCCCTACAATGAAAAACATGCTATCAAAAAAACAAGATACAAATGACTGATTTTCATCTTTGCCAGTGGAAAGTATTCATTAAAACAGTACCAGCAATAAGGATGGGAAAGATCAGTAAAACCTAATCTTGATTCTCAATGTATTTATTAGACAGCTAGAGAAGATGTATGTATATTAAACTATAGAATGAGGTAATTTAGAGGCTGTAGGACTTCCAAGTAAGAAGATCATCAAAGAAGTACTGAATCTATAGGAAGTGAATATTTCAAAGAAGAGCGGAGTCTTGATGGAATGAAAAGACTGGTAGATAGAGGAAGAGGCAGTGCAGGTTAGAGAAACACACAAATAATTGGGCATATTTGAATGAGTCAACAGGTTATTTTGCTTCTCAAACAACACGTACCTGTACAATTGGCAAAGTTGTAAAGAGCTCAGAAATAGCTACTGGTTTCTCAATTTCCTACAATACACAATTAAAAAAAAAAATCACCCTAAATTGTACATTAATGAGATGAAGCATAATTGAAAACCTACAATGATTTTTTTTTTAAGCTATTTTAAAAAGGGCCTCCCTGGTGGCGCAGCAGATTGAGTGCAGCACTGTGAAGCTGTCCACAGCCTCTGCAGTGCAGGTTCGATCCCCGGCCAGCCAGGGAGCAACCCACGTGGCGAAGTAGACCTCTCCTATCTCGCCCACTGCTCCCCTCAGCAGTGCTTTTGGTCAGTCTGTCTGTTCTGCTCCCCACTCTGTCTGTAGTAAATTCTCTCGCCCTCCTGCGTCACTGGCCTGTACCCCAGCTCTTGTATAAGTGAATAAATCTTTTAAAGAAAAAAGATATTTTAAAAAGACAGTTTTAAAAAAAGAAATCTAATTTCTGGTATTTGGAAACACTAAATAACTTTTTTTTAAAAAAAGAAAAAAAAGCTAAGGAGCACAGAAATAGCTGAGAACATTAGTGACCAAGGGGGATGAAAAACAGTTTTTAGAGTGAATCATCTGTAAGGTTTAGTTCTTGACCTAAACAGAAAAAATTATATTTACAAACAAGTTTAAAATGGAAATAAATTAGTGTGTCCATGACAATAAAATTATAAGAACTCAATATTTTTATTACAGTTTTATCAACAACAAACTTGTTAAGTTATTGAAAATGATGTAACACCAAATTAATTTTAAGACTCCTAATACGATCCCATAGTACTTCAAAAAAAACCTTTCACTGCATAGATACATAACAGCTCAACTGTTAACATACAGAATAAGAACAATACAGAGTACATTTAAGAACTAAGTAGTACAGTTAAGAACTAAGTCATCTGTAACTTTCATATTAGCAACATAAACACAAATATTATAAATCCTGGTCATTATTAACTTCAGAAATTATATTTTACCTGTTTCTTTTCCTTAAATTCAACAACATGATTGATGGCAACAACTGAATAGCCAACTGAAAAGAAAAATTGAACATTCTTGTAAACATTTAGAGATACTTGGAAGAGAGGTGAGTGAGAGACACATGGGGAAGCTAACAATGCCAGCTCTTCCCTTGATTTGTACTTTGATTTTTGCTCCTTTCCTCCCAGACCTGCCTGGCCCTTATGCCCCCTCCTTGGTTCCCTGCCAGAATGTGCTTTAGACCTGTGGCACATATTCAGGTCCCAGAAGCCTCGCTTTGGGCCAACCCTGTTTGGCTGGACACTTACCCACAAGAGGATGGGAAACTTTTGTCAGTTCATTGGGAAACTCTATCTTTTTTTCTCTTCTCTCTAGGCATACTAATCCTATTAAGTTCTTTGGCATGAAAAGTATGCTTTGTCTTTAAGCAGCAGATGGCAGAACCCCTCCAGAGTGAGGAAGTCTGGGGTCCCAGGATACCCCTTAGTCTGCACACTAACAATGTCACAAAAGGGACAAAAAAAATGGTATAAGCAATCTACTTTGATTAAAAAGGACTCCTTTTTATCTAGCACCATTTCTGAAAAGTATCAATACTGGCTCTAGAGAACTAAGAACCGAGGAATGGATCTCCCTGCAAAAACCTCTTTATTTTTAAATCTTTCTATCCCCAGACTTTACAGCCTAAGGAAGAAGACAACAGTCATGATTAGGTGCATTAATTAAAATGGGATCTTATCGCTCAGGGCTTTCTCTTCCCTTGTATTCAAATACGAATAACATTCTAGCATTTGAGCCATGCTTCTCCCTTTCCACCCGTCCATATGCCTATATGCCTGTCTATATATCTTTCTACCTGTCTATAACTAAATGCTACTATCTAAATATTATTATTCCAACACTAGCATCCCATATGACTCCCCCTCTCCCCAGACTTCCTGAATCCCCCCAGACCTCCTAGTTTGTGCATCAGCGTCCCGCACTTGCATAAGAGGACGGAAGAAGGTGATGCTAAAAGCACTGGTATAGGAGTGTACATTTGCAAGCCTTGGCTTCTGCCATTTATCAACTATGGGGTCCTAAGCAAATTTCCACCCTCTAAGGGCCTCCGATTCCTCAAGGTGCAGGAAAGAAGAGCTGGAGAGGGTAACAGCTCCCCTGTGTCGGAGCGTTTCCTGAGCCCGAGAAGAGAGCAACAGTACCTCGGGCGTCAGTTTCCCGGGACATCCCAGAGATGCCGAGTCCTGAACCAAGCCCCTTCATGCCCAGTCCCTCCCGAGCGTGGCCTGGAGATCGGGGGAACAAAGAGGCTGGACAACCACCGCGACTCCCAAAACCGGGGTAACTCACGATGAGCAGCGTTCTCCACTAGCCCCCGAAGCGCCTTCAGGTCGGGACCCGCTCTCAAGTCCAAATCCGCAAACACCGCCATGCTGAAGTCACATGACCTGTCCGCTCTCGTCTGCGCAGCCGCCCGGCTAGGCATTCTGGGAATTGTAGTTTATTTGCACTGTCCCGCCCTCCTTCCTGTTGATGCACAGGGATTTGCAATTATCAGTCGGCTGAAATTAGGAGGCTTGCTTCGACCCTTTGTCTGCTTCTGAGTAAAAGTGTTCAGTTGTGTGGGAGGGATTCAAATCTTCCACGATTCCTCCAACAAAATAATGTAGAGGGCCTCCCCGGTGGCGCAGCGGGTTGAGCACCATGCTGTGAAGCGGTACGCAGCTTCTGCAGCGCGGGTTCGATTCCCGGCTGGCCAGGGAGAGACCCACATGAAGCGGCAGACCTCTTCTGTCCTGCCTGCTGCTCCCCTCAGCAGTGTCTTCGGTCCGTCTGCCTGTTCTGCTCCCCTCTCTGTCTCTGGTGAATTCTCTTACCCTCCCGCACCTCTGACCTGTACCCCAGTTCTTGTATAAATAAATAAATCTTAAAAATAAAAAATTCTAAAACAAAACAAAACAAAAGCAATGTAGAAAGCGGGGTAGATGAGAAGCACTTGTACAGTATTTTATTGTACAGCACGAACTAGACCTTTTACTAAGAACTGGAAGGGAGAGACCTAAACAACTTGTTTTTGTTGTCTTCCCCTAAAGTCCTTTCCGTTGTTTAAAATGAACTTCTTGGGAAGACGACGGGAAACGGAAGATCCTGAAAAAGGACTGCCAGGGAAAAAGGTCTTTTTGCCCAATCAGAATTGGCAGTGTGGAAGCCTGCGGTCCTCGGGGAATGACTTCTTCTACCACAAGGTGGCAGGGCTGTCCCGAGGATGAGCAGTCAGTGCCACCACTGGTTCGGCCCAAGAGGGCTCTGTTAGAAGAGGGACAAAATTAAAATGTTTTACGCCTTTCATCTGAGAAATGTACAAGGTGGTGTATGTCCCACACGTTGGAGGTTTCCACATTTTGGAGCTTCTTATAAATCAACTCTTGGTGATTGATTAAATCAATTATTTGACACATAAAATTGTTCGTTTTATGCTTCTCGAACTGTGACAAAGAGCCAGTCCACCTCCCCCTCCCTCAATTCTTCCAAGTCCAGTACTGGTTGTCTGTAGTTAGTCATAAATCTAATTAATTCGACTACATCTATACTCGGCTGAATAAGGATTCACTGATTAGTGGCTTGGCTATCCAGACAGGGGCAAAGTTCTGTAAACATATTTAAACCTTTTCCATTTCTGTACTCACTTATCATAAGCAGTACTCTGGTCTACCAACCACACTGCAATTAGCACTTCTTAAAATGATTTTTTTTTTAAGATTTATTTATTTTAGGACCTCCCTGGTGGCGCAAGGGGTTAAGACACAACCTATGAAGCTATCCTGCAGCCTCTGCAGCTTGAGTTCCATCCCCAGGCGGCCAGGGAGATTCCCACATGGTGCAGCTGACCTCTCCTGACCTGCCCCGCTGCTCCCCTCAGCAGTGTATTTCAGTCAGTCTGCCTGTTCTGTTCCCTGCTCTGTCTCTGGTGAATCCTCTCACCCACCACACCTCTGGCCTGTACCCCAGCTCTTGTATGCATAAATAAAATAAATCTTTAAAAAAATAAATAAAGTTAGCATGAGAGAGCCTACTTGGTTGTGAAAATAAAGAACATTCCTCCCTCTTTAAGATGCAAAATATGACTGTGACGAATAATACAATTTGAGAAGCCATTATGTATGAAATCAAAGGAAGAAGTATAATTGGTCTATGAAACAGATGCTTGATGATAAACTTAATGAGGGGAAAGAGAAGGACTAAAATTTCAACAAGGTTGGTATTATAATGCAAGTAAAAGTAAAGTAAATATTGTATTAAGTGGAGCGCCCCAGAGAACTTGGGGGGGGGCTGGGGAGGGGGAGAGAGAGAGAGAGAATGCAACTGGCTTTTGTGATTATGGAGACCAGCAAGTCCCACTATCTGCAGCTTCAGAAGTTATTACCCCAGAAGAGCTGATGCTATAGTTCCAGCCATGGTTTTAATCTTATCAACAAGGTGTTCCACTGATCAGCTTCTGGGGTCCTTTGTCATACATCGGTCGTCAGCCCCCGGGGTGTTCCTGGTCACAACTGGTGATGGATAGCCTTCCCAGTGTGATCCATCTTTGTACTCTTGTTTGATTTGAAGGGCACCTTGCAGGGTTGGGCTCCTGTACCTAACTGACCGGGCCATTCTGACCTTGTTTAGGACTTAACAAAATGGTGGCCAACAGGCTGCATAGGAGTAGCAGACCCACATGAGTCCAATGACAGGAAGAAGCCATTGTCCCTGCTCACAGGCCATCAGACAGGGGAATACCCTTATTGGAAGTAGGGTCTGTACTTTTTATACTATGTAGAATGATAGTACAAGTGATTGGACGAAGCCCAGCCACATTAGAAATGTTAATCTGCTTTACTTCAGCTACTATTCTAACACTATTCTCATTCAAAGAAAGCCTCATACCCACAGGCAGAATAATGTTTGACCAAATATTTGGGTGCTCCATGACTCTGATTGACAGATAAAATTCACCATCACAGTGTTGTTACCTTGAAATTGTTATAAATTAAGAGGGGGGAAAATTGCTCAGACAACATTTACTGAAGGCAAGTTTTAAAAAATGTTTATTGAAGGCAAAAAAAAAGGTCCTAAACAGAACTAGCATTTGCAAACATAATAACTATACATTCTCCTGTTCTGTATGCTGGAAATACAACTTGGCATTTGCAGGATAAATTATGTGGGAAAAAAACTAGGCTATTTCTGGCATTTTTCTATTGCAGTTGATAAGCAAGTAGATATATGAAAGCTATTGTGTTGTTGAGAAATTTTGATATGACTAAATATCTTTTGGAAATTGTGTCCCCTAAAAGGCACACCGTTAGGAAGTAGCTTATTTTTGTTTATGGAGAAGAATTTTGAAAATTTTAAAGTAGATTTGTCAGACTTGGTAACTATGACTACAGATGGAACTTCTGCAGGGGTCAGTGTTAACATCAGATTTATGAAACACAAGCACAATGTGGCAAGATTTTGTCAAGACAAAATTTTAGTCCATTTATTGTACTACTGATAGAAACTACTTTGAGCTCTCCATTTAAATACAATATAAATAACAGCCATGCTAACTAACCATGGCCCACATATGCTTCATGCTCCCAGTAGCTAAAGAGGATGCTGAGAAAATGTTGAAGTCCTGAAAGAAAAAAAAATTTTATTCATGTTATAAAGGAGAAACTATCTTAGTGCACTATAGAACACTGGACCAGATTTGGCTCTTTTAGTCAGTGATACAATCCCTTTAAATTCTCTGGACTACTCCTACCCCATCTCAACATACACCTCTCTCGAAAGATATAAACTGATTTTTTTTGTGGGTGAAAAGGGATGCTCAAGATGGCATGACAAAACTGACTCCATGTGGTGGCTGAAACTACATCCTACTGAACTTTTTAACTTTAAAAAAGAAATTCACCGACTGGTAATGTTACAGGGCAGCCCCGATATAAAACGGGGTGCCTGACTGTGGGTCCTCACCCACACGCTTAAAAAGGACTTATCAATACTCTCCTGCAGGCACACACAAAAGGTTAATAAAAGGTTTATTTATAAGGGAAGGGGAAATGAGGAAATGTACAACTCAGGGAGAAAAGAGGGAAATAAAGTCTTAAATGTGCCCTACCCTTTCCACTGCCCTGGAATCCCAATGGCATTCTGAGAGCTGGCCACGAGACACAAGCCGTGAAGCCAAGAAGAGAGAGATCCCAAGGCCCACGTGTCTGGTTTTTATACCAAACCTGGCTGCTCAACTCCACTCTCAGGTCCCAGCCATCTTCCCTTTGGTGGTGACGGGATTTGTCTTTCCCAATGTCTTGATAGCTTTGGTCTGGAGTGGGGGTGGAGTCCACAAAGCCTGCATGGAATTAGCTCAGGACATCCTTTGCCCCTAACAGTAAGAACTGGTTTCCAGGTAGATATGTCCTTCTCTGATATACTCTGTGTGTGTGTGTGTGAGTGTATATGTATTAATCTATCCATCCATCTATATATGTATGTATGTGTGTACGTATGTATGTGTCTGTCTATCTATCTATCTATCTATCTATCTATCTATCTATCTATCTATCTATCTATCTATCTCTATCTCTTACTTCTTTTCATAGTAACCAAGGCCAACTGACTAAAAGCCAATGAACTGTAAGAGATATAATCTACAATCAATCTTAATTTTTCTATTCTATTCTTCTTACCCCATCTTTTTTCCTTAAAACCATCTTTAAACAAAGACCCCAGTGGGGAACAATTTGGGCTGATACAGTAGCCAGATTTCCCCTACCCCCACCATCACCCCAGGGTTGAATTTTTGTAGATTTCCTTTGTTTACCCTTCTCCCTTACAAGCCCTTCCCCCCACCTGATTTATTCTCCAACTTCATTTCCTGGAACCTTGAGAACTAATTGTGTTACAGCTCTAACAAAATTGTCTGTTCCCCTCCAGCTTGATAAGACCAGGGAAAGCCTCTGCTGGGCTGTTACCCCCAAAGAAACACTCTATTGAATTAGTTAGCACCTCCTCTGACCTGAGGATGCCTAGCCTCTCACTCCCCTAGCATCTTGTACCTCCTCACATTCCATCCCTCCCCTCCATTGGGAGAGCCAGCTTCTTTTGGAGTATTAACCTTGCTGGCTGATTGCCTTGGTGGCCAACTCTTATATTCAACTCCTTTGTGCAAAGACATTTTTGTGGTTCAGAGTTGGGCTTTCTGTTATGGTTTGGTTGTTTACAATACCTGCCTATGCACCTGGATTTGCAAATGTAAGACTCTCCAAATAAACACCATCACTTTATTTTACCCTTGTTGTGCTTTTCTCAGTCAACATCTTCATATACATATAGTTGACCCTTGGACAATATGGGTTGGAATTGCATGGGTCCGTTTATATATGAATTTTCTTATAAACAGACAATGTAAACTTATGGTTTGGAGAAATACTGTACAGTGTTATAAA